TCCAATATCTCAGATGTCTGAAACCTCGGAACTTCAAAACCAATTTCACATGAAACACTTTGCTCTAATGTCAAATTATAAACACCAATTCCATCAAAAGGTGTAGAGATGGTTTGTTTCAAGTCTTATGATGTCAAAATAAGGAAAAAAGAAGTGGGCATATTTTACTAAAATTTGGAAACCCTGCACTTTTGTTTCCCCTGGGGTGAGTTTTGAAGTAATAAGTGAGCATGATTACCAATTACTCACACATATGCTTCGTTCTGCATATTCTCAGAATTCTTCAAGCATAACCCTATCCCACCACTCTTCTAAGATGACTATTAAAAAATATGCAAGTCCCATCATCCTCGCATCTTCTAGTTTTGATTCTCAATATCAAGATTGAAGATAGTAATTATTTCCTCCAGATTCTGGATGAGTAGATTATAGCTATAATTTCCATTGCAACTTTACAAGAACATAAATGAAAATACAGCTGATTGCATGTTATAAAAGATTATTATTACATCAGGTGACAAAAGGAGGTCACCTTCTCAAAACTTTCAACCGCAAAGACATCAATTATTCTGACACAAAATATCAGAAACCATATAACCCTCCACACCAATGGCATGTAAACAGTAGCTATGCAAAATGTTTTATGAACTGGTACGTTATCTGCTTATGCTTGCTAGATGCCTGGCAGATCAACTATTGTCTTCCCTACCCTATGACACATAACACCACCAGCACATTTGGGGATCGAAATAAATAATGTCACAAAAAAATAGCAGTGCACACTATCTGCTCAGCAAAAGCAATAGACACCAATTATGGTTTCAATAGTATTGTGGCTCAAAATAATTGCATGCAACTGCCGGTGTGCATAATGTGTTATCAACTACTAATACAATATCTACAACAACAACAAAAACAACAGACACCAATTATGGTTTCACTAGTATTGTAGCTAAAATAAATTGCATTCAAGATAATTGCATGCAACTGCCGGTGTGCATAATGTGTTAAAAACTACTGAGACTATATCTACCTATGCTCACTAGAAGCCATAGCAAGCGCACAGACCATGCTTAGTCGAGAAAAAGCAATAATGCAGCAAAACCAGCAGTACAACTACAAAGCACCCTTCGACCATAACAACAACAATAATAACAAACCCCCATTATGATTTCACTACTATTTCAGCTAAAGAAACCTGAAGACTTGTCTCAGGCCCTTACTTCCACAGGCAAATTATGCATAAAAGGAATAAAACATATCAACACAGAAATCTTACCTGGGGAGTTGATAGAATCTCGAAATCACTTTCATTCAATCTTGGAATCAACAATATAAAATAAACCATCCAAAATCGGCCATCCCCCATTTCACTCCTAAGATTATATCTAAGTTGTGCCAAACTAGGAACAAAACGTTCAATATTTGAGGCATGTTCTCTTTGAGCATCAGTCATTGTAAAATCTGCAAAAAAAAAAAAAAAAACTCCTTTTCACCAAAAATTGAAAAAAATTTCACATAAAATCAATTACTTTACACGATTCAAATCCCACAATCCATATAAAATCCATAAATACATCAATTAAAAAATATATCAAAATCTTGCACTGCAGATGCACATTTTTTTTCTTTAACTTCATACTAAAATATATATCACATTTGTCACAAATAATTAATAAAAAGAACAATTATTCACTACTGACAGTTTAAAAAAAAAGGAAGAGTAATTTTTTTTTTTTTACCGTTTTGGAGTGGTAGAAGAGTAATTTTTTTTTTTTTTTTTACCGTTTTGGAGTGGTAGAGGAAAATCAACCCAGTACTCAGGTCTCAGAGAAATCTCCTTAACAAAACCAATCACCTCCTCATCAATCCCCGCCACGTCATCCTCATAATCACCTTCTTGACCACTGTTGTTATGATCATCATCTTTAAATCGCAAGAAATTAAAAGTGAGTTTAGAGAGACCATATTTTAAACTGTCACCGATTTCGGCAAGATCGTTGCGAATCCCGATGAGAGCTCGTGATGATTGAGAAGAATCGGACAGTTGTGATTTGGCTGCTTCAGGACGGGACAGGGGTGGAGGGGCGAGGAAGTTAGCAACCCCACGTAATTGACGACCGATAGAAACACCGATGGCCGACAAGTCGTCTTTAACTGAAGGAGGGGGAGGGGAGTGTGGGGATGAACCTGGGTCGTTGGATTGGAGTGATTTGAAAAGCCAAGACATATTTTTTTGAGGGTAGTTAGAGAGAAGGCATTGAGTTGAGAACAGTGAGAGATTTCAAGTTTTATTTTGATGAACTTGAAGGCGAGAAGAAGCTGTGTTCCTCTTCGCTGGTGGAGTAGGTGTAGAGGAGTAGTTTCTAGTAGTAGTTCTTTGGTGTTTGGCTTTGACAATCTGATTTTGGTACAGATTTTGTGCTGAGTTTTGATTGGATAATAATTTTATTCGAAGCTTACAGGTGCGTTGCTTGCTTGCTTGCTACTTTTTGAGGGGTGCGGATTCCTATATCCGATTAAATTGGACTTAATCCTCTGGTTTTCAGTATACAATTTTATATTATGCTTTGAGTCTCTACTGGTCGTAGGCTCCTGTGCTTGCCGGTTTGTTCCCATCATGTCAGATAAAAAGTAAGGTTTTGGAAGAAAAAACCGAAGAATGTATCTATTTCAATGTTAATGGTTTTTTTAAGCTCTCAGATGAAAACTTTATTCATTAAAATACGATGAGAAAAATGATTTAGTGTTTATGTGAACTAATAATGTGATCAAATCTAAAAATCTATGGAAACTGGAAATATTCTTGAGATAAATAATTTTTTATTTATTTTTATTCAGTATAACTAGAGTTTTTTTTATAGTTATAGTGTTTGACTATTGTTTTAATATAAAAAAATATAAACAATGAAAACAAGATTAAAAAAATAAAAATAAAATTATATTTACAATGATGTACAAGATAATATAAAATATAATATATAAATTGTACTATTTCATGGTTTTTTTTAAGTCAATCATGATTATTGTTATAGTGTTTAATAAAGTAAATAAATTATAAATTTTATATTTTTTAATTGCTGACATGTATAAAGTGTATCCTTTTTTTTTTTTTTTGTAATTTGTGTTATGTTGCCAATATGAATTTTTATAAAAGTAGAAAATAAATCTTCAATGTCAATGATCACACTGTTAAACAAGGTGTCTACTTTATCATTAATAACAAGCATGATTAACTTGGAAAAATTAAGACATCCTCACATTCATTACACACACACACATATATATATGATCAGTGGCGGAGGCAGGGGGGCTGACAAGGGCCCCGGCCCCTGCAAGAAACTTTTTTCCCAGCCCCCTCCCTTATAAATATTATAAAAATAATTAAAAATTTAATTTAATTTTTAATTTGGCCCTTCTTAGTTTTTTTTTCTTGCTCCGCCCCTGTATATGATTCTCTTCCTTTGTTTGCTTTATAATTTATAATCGAAGCCAGTGAATACAAAAGAATAGTAATTTTGCAAAAGCGAGCAGTCTCTCGAGGGATAGTTGGCCTATGGCAGTGTATTGTCCTCTCACGAGGAATCCACTACCATACATTATTACATGAATCGATGAATTTAATTTTGAGTTTTCTCTTTCATTTATCATCACGGGTTGCAATTATTTCACCAACGAATAAAAACAAAAAAAAAAAAAAAAACCGAGTAAAGGTTTTTGTGACGCAGGGGAAAAAGGACCTTGTAGAGAGATGTACCATGGCAATCCACCATCACTCATCTTCGTTTCATTTATACGGCCATCCTCAATAACAACGATTCAATTTGTTAAAAAATTTAAATTTTATTTTTTTATTAAAATTTTTTTTATATATTTTTAAATTATTTTAATATAATGATCTTAAAAATAATTTTTAAAAAATAAAAAAATATTTTAAATCACAATTACAATAACATTCTTAAACAAATTATATTAAAATATTATTTATCAATTACCTTTTAAGTAAACAACCAACCATAATTTTTGCACAAAATCAAGATCTTGCAGGCATATATTACTAGGTGGGTGCCCATGCTACAATGTTAACTTAATTAAGTTAATAGGTTTGTATAATTTCAATGATATAAATAAAAAATAAAAAAAATTATTAAAAAAAATCAAAATATATCTAGATTGGCATACATAATTTACCACTAGACTGTAATATTAAGGTAACTTAAATTAATAGCTCAATCATCAAATAATTTAATATAAAAAAAAATTGAAAGAAAAAAATTATAATTAAATTAGGTTAATTATGACTTTAGATATATGACTAAGATAGTCATATAGAAAATAAAGCAATAAAAATATAAAAATCAATTTTTAATAATTTAAATATTAAAAAATAAAATTAAAAAAATAATAAAAAACCTAAAAAGAAAATTGAGATGAACTGGTATTAATATTCAAAACTTATAATTATAATTCTAGTAATGAGTTTAAAACTAATCTCATTAAAAATAAATCTTAAAAAATAACAAACTAAAATTTTTAATAATAAAATAATAAAGAATAATACTTTAAAAACAGGCTATATTTTTTGCTTTTAAAGGGTAAATTAATAATCTCACCATGTACCCCAAACAAATTGATAACAACATTTATAAACTCGTGAAAATATCGTTTTGCCCCCAAAAAAACTCCGCCCTTCCCCTGCAATCATGGAAGGCAAAATCGTGCACCGAGTCTTGCTCTACCGTAAAAACTGAACATGCTTAGCTTTTTTTAAATGCAAGGACTATGAATCTCTTTTATCCCCCATATCAGAAGGGGTTGTTCACCTGACAAATATGAATAAGTTCCTCCATTCATGTAATACACACAGAGAATGAGAAAGCTTCGGATTTGTCAACACAACAAAATTGACTCCAAAATTCTGGGGCCTGACAAGTTCAAAGAAGCTCCAATTGTGGGGCAAACAAGAGTAGACAGAGAATAGTAAGTATTGTTACAAGAACCAATGATATCTGGTGCTGAGACTTTGAGTCACGAATCAAACTTGGTGTTCTTTTTTACATAAATGTGGTAATAATCACAGAGATTACATATCATTCCTATCATCTACAAGTAAACCTGACGGGGGGGAAAATAACAAGATATGAAATACCTGCTTGAACATCATCAACAACAAAGCAGGTTGAAAACGCTATAGTTGTCTGAAAAGCATTATTACTAACCTTCAAAGCAAATAATCGCTAATCCACAGTCCTTTGTCTCACTAGTTATTGAAGAAGAATCTCATTCTAACTGACTACTGCACATACACAGCATGCGGTACACAACTATCGAGTCTTCAAGCATTCCCAATCTCAAAAACCAAAACCGACTGCTCTCGCAAGATTTTTCTTTCACGTGTTTCCATAAAAAGAATGTGCTTTGCACAAAGCTTCTAAATAAGGCCCGAATATGGATTGTATGCTTGAACAGGCGGCCTACCTGAGCCATAGGGGTGGACACTGCTTCCATAAGGGTTGTCAAAAGGATTTGAAGGTTGCTGTTGTTGGCCCATCATCATCATCATCTGCTGCTGCTGCTGTAACATAAAAGCTTGCTGCTGGCTTGCCATTTGTGCCATTTGCACTGAATGTGGTGCAGCCACCACGTTGGAGGCAAAGAAAGGATCATATACAGCTGTTTGCATCATGGGATTAGCCATTGGGGCTGGCTCCCAAGGATTGAAGCTCACAGGCTGGTTGCTCCTTCTAATTGCATCATCATAGAGGCTGTCTAATGTAAGTTTATCGAGCCCTCCAGCCTTTGGTGTCAACACAAGTGATAAAAATCAGCATAACCAGAATGCTAATGCATACGTTGTTCAAATGAACAATCCAAGTCTATGGAAGTAGACAAATTGAAATTGTTCTAGTGAGATATTAATTGCATACAGGAAACCAATTATGGAAAATTACCAGTTTGCTAGCAGCAGCGGCACTTTCATTTGAACTAGGAGCTGTGACAAGTGCCAATTCCCAGCCTGTAGTTCCATTTGCATGACTTGGGATAGCAGTACTTTGTTGTTCAGCTGCAACAACAGAAAACACCAAAACATAAAACCTGATTCACTATTGCAAACAAACTATTGCAGTGGAACTTAATCCGATCAAATTATACAGCCATGGTCTTCATCCTATTTTAAGTCTTAATGTTTGAGGGTTTGCCTTCAATAAGGTTGATTTTCAATGTATGTCTCCACACAGTAGCTACACATCTTGTAGTGTATGCTACAATCAAATTTAAAATGAGTTCTCAAACTTTTGAGCCATAATCCAAAAGCGTGTAAGATTGGACCATCATAAGGAACTCACCGACTGGAACAATAGCAAGAGCGAGGGCATTCTTCTCATCTAGCTCTGAAGCAACTGGAACAGGATCACCCAAACCCTACACCAAAAGGAGGGAAAGAGCAGCTCATAAGGGAACTGAAAAACATTCAGAATCTTCTCTGGAAAAGAAATACCACATCCAAATCAAAAGAAACAGAGGTTGAGAAATTACCAACAAATCAGGAGGTTGAGCTACAGGCTCTTCCACTTTTACTGGTTCAGGTGGAGGTGGTGATGGCGGGTGTTCCTCCTCTACCCCAGATTCCTTTTTGTACTCTATGGCTAAGATTTCCTTGGGAGCAGCAATTTTATTATCCACAAACTGCAAAGTTGAAGATTACATTGTCAATAATCATTATTGCATGAACATAACAAAAGGTGATGGCATAAACCAGGGACTAAAGATATATACAAATATTAGTTATTACTTTTTAGAAAGGAAAAATAGGACATTTATAAATTACAGAGAGTGGGGACATGGAAAATCTTACATGCTGGCATTAGAAACGCATGCACTTTTATTTATGCCAAATTCATGTGAAAATAGATTTGACAGAGGTTTATAGCATGCCTTGCCATGTAACATTCAGTAACATCGCATGCATCACTTTGTGCCCATGGTGCGCAGGCAAAAGCAGAGGTTTTCCTTTTGAGAAAGCCACTCCATTGTCAATTAACTGATTTCATAAAAAGTTTTGTTTAGCTAATTTTCGACATAAATGATATCTGATGCCCCTTTGCTGTTCTGTTCTTCCCTCCAACAAAAATCTATTACACACAGAATTTATGTACCTGATCCTTTCGAGCTATCGACATCCTTGGAGCATCTCGCACATACTCTTCCATGGTTTGTAGGAATGATGAAGGGGGCTTCATTATCAACAAAAAATTAGTCAACTAGAATAAAAGAGAAGGATCCTAAAAAAATATATGTTCCCGGAAAACACCACAAATGAGAATGCAAACCTGCTCAATCTTTATAAACCGTTCTCCACGTCCAAAATCCATGCTTTTACATATCTCGTAAAATTCTGAAAGTCTCTCTGCCTGAAATAAGCAGAAAGTTTAAGAGTAGACCATGGAAATACATATAGAACAGCTACGCTAAGAGATGGTTAAACTGTCATTTGCACAGCATTCAAGAAGATATTACCTGTTGGCAAGCCCTTCTATATATTTCCAGAGCCTTCAAAGCATCAAGGCGCGTCATCTCAAAGAACTGTCATCCATAAAAAATATTGTAAGCACATGATTTTCTCAATAGCCTAGCTTCAGACCTGAAAAACAAACATTTATTTTACAAACAATGATGTTTGCTTACCTTGTCAACCAAATTGGCAGTACCATCAGTTATAGCTTGATAAACTCTAATGCTCTCTGAAGAAACCTGTTATTATAGATGACAAAAAGTGTAAGCTGTAAGAAGTGAAAAAACCTCTGCATGTTAAACCAGCTACACAGCATAAGCATGATTTACAAAGTCCACTCACCAGTTGAAGTGCCAACTGAATGACAAAGTTATTGACTGCTGCACCTTGTGGCTGCACAAATGGTACAAAATTGTTTGCCCATCGAAATACAAAATAAAAGGCATTCATGAATAACTCTATCCTAAATCGAGAAAACCATTATATTTTCACTTTAAATTGAGAAGATCACTTACCTGACAACCGAGAACACGGAAAAGAAGCTGTTGCAAAGCTGGCAACTGTTCCAGTATTTCAGCAGTGTCCAGATCTTTGGTCCTCTGCATAAAAGATTTATCAATGAAACTCTACAGTTTTCGATGACACATCTAGCACAAACATTCATGCTATTTGAGAATAAAAGGGGCTGAAATGAAGTAGCAACAATTCCTTCTAACTAAAACCAAAATTCTTTTTACCTAAATAAAAAATTCAAATTTACAAATGTCAATGCTTGGGTGCTGTAAAGTCCACATAATAGTATTTATAGTAAAATGGTTGAAATGATAAACTTTAACAGGGATTTCAACAAATAAATCAAGAATAAATTGAGAGCTAAAATATGTCACATTAAAAAGATGAGCTCTCACAGGTCGATCCATCTCAACGTCATACTTCAACACGCGAAAGCATTCCAGCCTCTCCTCCAAAAACAAGGCATAGGTGCGAACCCACGCAGAATAATCCCAAGCTGTCCAGCACATAACAATAATCATCATAAACAATGATTTAACAAGAATAATCACTTCACCAAGAAGAAAAAAAGATACCATTCGGACTGGAGTCATCTTTGAAATGAGCCATATTAAGCATATGACTCCGGGTTCTTCCATAATTAATGATTTCTTCATGAAACGTGGGGTCCACTTCTCTCAAAGCACGATGAATAACAATTAAAGTTTTCAATGCAACCTAAAAATTAGCAGCAGGTCAAACACATTGTAGGAAAACACATGGATAGATCAGAAATACACCTACGCATATGACATAAGGTGAACATCAAATCACTCAAAGCAATGACTTTGGAAAGTGAGCAATTTATTCATGAATTACTACAAATGCTTTCCATAAAATGAACCACAGGATTCATGAATATTGGAAATTGAACTACGGATACCACTGACATGAATTGCTTAAATTTCTCAAGGATAAACGTCATTAAATCTTTCTGTTTCAGAACAAGATGGATATAGAGGTAGAAAGGCGAAATGTCAACCAATCCCCCATCTATAAATTTGAGTTGCTTATGAAGAAACTTTCACTTATTTGTTCATGTAAAAAAGATTTTCTTGCTACTTAATTTTGAAATTGGTGAAACAGAAGACCACAAAAACGTGGTGCTGCAACAACAAAGACCACAGAGATATATATTATTCTGTCAGGTGGAAGTTCAGGTGGTCATTAACTTTTCCAAGATATGAACTATCATGCTAAATGATGCATCAGATGCCTTCGGTCTAGTTCTCAAAATAGGTGACACATCCAGCGGGTTAATGTTGCTTATGATCAGCAGTTTATGCATTTACCATCCCCTAACTGAATTCCAATGAAAACAGGAACTCTGGCAAATATTTGACACAACCAAAAAATTAACAAATAACAATGGAAACCCGATGAAAAATATCCCATTAATAATTTCCAATGAAAATAACAACAGAACATCAATAATTTTCAATGGAAATAGCGATGAAATAAAAAAGATAAAAAAATCAATTAAAATTTTATTTGCAATTCCATCGGGAATTTTACATGTTATTAATGCCGATGGAATTTATATCATCATTAAAACCTGATAATTCTCTCTTTCCCCACATTCTTCATCTTCAATTGCTAAAAAAACAGCAGCAGCCCCATCTTTTAATTCCAGCAGCCCTCTTGCAAATCCAGCCCTTCAACCCACCAACGTCGACCAACATTTGTCAATAGCATCAACATCCGTTTCTTGGTTCTATTTTTTGTCAAGTCTCACACCACCAAGTTTATAAACCCAACCATTTTTTTAATTCATTTATATTTTAAGTTAATTTATTGAAATTGTTTGTAATATTTGTTGTTTGCTTGTATATTTAAGTGTTTTACAATTTTTTCTAGATAATTTTGTTGTGTTAATGCTTAATTTTTATGTTAGGGTTTGTTTGAGATTTTGAAAAAATTGAGTTTGATCTTGTAACTTAAATGTGTTATAATTGAAGAAATAATGGGTAATTTAATGGGTACTAATTGTATTTTGTCAATTTTATTGTTAAGTTGGAAATTTGAAGAAAATTTATTTTTTTGCAGTTGATAATAATTAAAATGTATTAATTTATGATGAATAAGCTTGAATTAAATAAATTATTTATTCTTATCCAACTCACACGACTCGTCAATAAGTTTGAATTGAAAAAATTAGTAATTCTTGGGATATTCTTGCTACTCAAGAAACGAAAAAAAATAGAGAATTGATACTCAAACTAAATGAAAGTAACATCAAAATAAATCTAACATCATTTTTTTTTTTAATGGAGTAAAGTGTATCGCTAACAACAACAAAGTCAGCATCTGATCCGTAAATAGTTAAAGGCTTGTCATTCAAATGCAGAAGATGTAAAGACTATCAACTAACATAGAGATTCCTGAGGTTTCCCTTCAATAAAAAGAAAATTATCTAAACATAACATTATAATAAATCATTGATATGTTCTAAAATGATATACACTCAGAATCATAATAGTATGAAACATTTGCACCTTTCAGCTTCGAAGAATGAGGATATTGTAGCAGAATTCGGCAAGATTTACTACAAATCTAAGCCAAAAGATTTTACTAGATTACTATCTTTTGGTTGTTGTACAATATTCTTAAACATGGTTTGAGCTTGTCATGTTAAATCATCTTTTCCAGAATATTATCCTTTCTGTTGTCCTCCTTATCAAATAAAACTTCCGATGACTACCACTTTTGTTTGTGCAATCAAACATCAGCTCTAACAATCGCCTTTTCTTAACTTGGTGAAAATATTTTCCCTTTTTAATTGTCTCTAATGTAATGAGATGGTAAACATAGACAACTTTCTCTTGTCCTAGCCTGTAGGCATGTTTGATGGCTTGCCTTTCAACTGATGGGTTCCACACAACACTAAGCAAAACCACCCTTGAAACGCTGACAAAATTTATCCCTTCAGAACAAGTCCCTAGTTGATGAGAGCAATACTTTATCTTATTATTTGCATAGTTAAAATGCTTAACCAACGTTTGACATTCATCTACTTTAATCTTTCTATGCATCTATAATATATCCTTTCTTTGGATCCAACTGAGCTTTGACTCGAGCTCCTCCATTACCATGAAGAGAAGGATTCTAATTAAAAAGTAGTGTTGAATTGATTTAGATATGACATTTCATTGTGTAATAAAATTAAAATTGTGTAAGACATTTGTTAGTGTTTAATAATGCATTACATTTATATTTTTTGGATAATGTTATGTTTTTCCAATATGTGTTTATTGTTTCAATAATTCCATGATTGTTTTTTGTTGTGGTTATGAGTTTTATGTGAATAATTATTGACTTGAAGATGCTTCTTCTTCTTCTTCTTCTTCTTCTTGTATGTTTAGGTTAGCTAGGGGATCATAACAACTTACCAAAAAAAATAGTGAAAACACTGATGGAATCAGCGACGGATAGCTTCATTCCATCAACATTTATGTTGGCAATTTCGCATCCATTTCATCGGAAAGTTACAGAAAGTTTGGGCATTTTCAATGGAATCAGTGATTGAAAATTCCGTTGGCAATTAATTTTCAATGAAAAATGGGCAATAAATCTGATTTTTTGGTGCGAATAATATGTTGGCAACTTTCATTGCCAACAGAAAAACCAACGAAACAATAATCCCCATCGAGTAACTTACCAATGACAGGTTTACATCAAAATTTTTGTTAGCAATTAAAATACCTAAGGAACATTGTGTGGTGTTTTCCAATTTTCTAGTAGGGTGAATACCTTGAAAAAATAAAGAGGAAGTTCCTGGAAGCCAAAACAAAAAATTTATTTCCAACCACGGCATGAAGATTTGGACACTTAAATAGGCAGAATAGCACTTAATTTACTTCAGACCTCTCTATTCATAGCTATCTAATCACATAAGATTTCATATGATGCTGTTGCACATACCGCCCAGTTATGTGTCCTCGATAAACGCCGCGCAAGAGCATGGATGCAATATGCAACATCAGCCCGAGGTCTAGTAGCTGAAACGGCAGCAAAAATAGCTGCAAAGAGAATCAAATAGAAAGCACATGAGCTTCACATCCATCAAATTTTTCCTTCTCTAGAACGTCGCATTTTATACTGCCACAATCAATATGTTGTTCCCAACTTCCTATCTTGTAAGATTAAGGAGAGCATTTCATGTACCTCTAATGTGCCTTTCTTTTGCAGGTCGCTCATAGTGATTCGTGGCCTTCACTATAGAAACGTCCAATTCCTGAAATCGCAAAAACCACCAAACCAACAAGATCAATACTTCAAAACAAAACCCAACTTTAAATAGCCACGACAACAACTTCATGATTGTTTTAAACTAGTAAAATACCTTGTAATCACTATTGACTTTGGCCAATGAAACAGTGGTGGTATCCTTGAGGGCACCAAGTGCTTTCCTCAAACTTTTCTGGGTTCCACCTGACATTCTCTCTTCCTCTCAAATGCAGAATTCTACAAACAAACTCACCAAGTCAATTCTCCTCACACTAACTCTCTAATTCAATGAGCACTTAATTTAGAGAGTCAAAATCTGATCAAAGTTTTAGACCCCTGAACTGACTTTAATAAGCTCACAATTACCGTTTACATTACATTAAAGTAATTAGATCCATATAGATAAAAGATAAAGCTTCCATCAGTAACAGTAAAATATCAGCAACATTTACTAATTTTTCTTTAAAAAAAAAAAGAATCTGAACTGCCACCACCATTATCACCAAAATCCCACAAAATCAAAAATAAAAACACAAAAGAGAAAGAAAAAAGAGAAAGAAAAGATAGGCAAGAAATCAACATAAAAAACAAAAAGCTGTGAAATCCACCAAATTCAATGAAAAAACAATAAAATCAAGAAACGAAAAAATATGTCCAAGAAAACATTAAATACAATATCAACTAACACAAACAAGTTAAAAAACATCAATAATCAGCAGAAGCAAAATAGCTTCCATGCTTAGCTAAAGAAGAAAAGAATGGAAAAGGAAGACACCCTTTGACTTATCATCGCCAAAAGATCTAAACCAAAACTAGAAAAAGAAAGAAAACTTCGCAAATTCAAGAGAATAGATTATTACATCATCACAACTCAAATTTTGAAAAAATCCAGTAAAAGAGAGCTGGTAGTAATTTCCTACCTGAAACTGAATACGAGAGAAAGAGAGAGAGAGAGAGATGGGGAGAGGCAAAGTAGGAGGAGGAGGAGGAGGAGAAGTGATAGAGACGAGAAGGAAAAGGCTGTCTGACAGAGAAATATGAAAGTATGTAAGAATTTGGTTAGTTCGTTCGGTTTTGTTGGGTCGTCGGCGTCGTTGAATATTATTTATTTATTTAATGCTATTTTTATAAAATTATAAATAATGTCTCTCTCTCTCAAGTCTCATCTGATGGTAGTTTCTCTCTCTCTCTCTCTCTCTGTCAGAAATACGGCTTGTACTGCTGTCTCCTTGATAAAAATAGCTTGCCTGCCTGTGCCTGTACATGTCAGTTGGCTGTTAAAAATCGTGGCTTTTTGCCTATTTATTTTTAAGGAACTTATAATCTTCTCCCTGAAGACATCATTTGTCACATGTTCATTCATAGAGTTATACTTTAAGTATTTTGTTTTGTTTTTTTATTTTAAAAAAATTAAATTGATATTTTTTTAATATTTTTAATAATTTTAATATACTTGTATTAAAATTTTTAAAAAATATAAATAAAATTATTTTCATATATTTTCAAACAAAAATATTTTTGAAAAACACATTGTATCATGTATACATTAAAATCCAATAGCAATTACTTTTAAATTTTTTAATTTAAAAATATATTAAGAAAGTATTTTTAAAAAAATTATTTTTGACATATAAATATATTTAAAAAAATTAATTTTTTAAAATAAGTTTAATTCTGTTCAATATTTTTTTTTCACCGTAAAAACAAGCAAGCACGATGAGATTCCATTCAATTTGATTTTACCACTTCGACGTGCTTCTTTTATTGAAAACTATTTGGATTTTTTTATTCCAAAACAAAATTAGAACATGCTTTATGAATTACAATTTTAAGCAAGCTAATCCATGTTAATTTTTAAATAGTTATGTGGGAATTTTTAGATTGTTTGGAATTAATTCTTAATTGAATTTAATTATAATATTTGATTTGAATTCAATTGATAAATAAATTAATTTTTTTATATTTGAAAGAGATAAAATTTAAAATTTTTTATATTTGAAAGAGATAAAATTTAATTCATTTTATTTTTTATATTATTCCTGTTATCTTTATACTATTTCTTCAAATGTCTTTAGAAAAAGGTTAAATAAGATGGATTGACCTCTTATTTACTCTTGCAATATTTTTAAATATTAAATTGCATTTGGAATTCAAATTTTAAAACTAAAAAGGATTTTAAATATGAGATCTCATTGAAATCTCTGAACTAAATTCAATTTAGAGGTTTCAAATATACTATTTTTATTTTTATGAATGATAAATGATTGATATTTCTATGAAAAAAATATATAAAAATTATGTTTGTATTGATATTAAGAGATTGATTAAGTGACATTAATTACCTAACCGTTTTCTTAGATCCTAGCTAATTAAGTAATTTGTTAGATAATAAATAGTTCATTGAATTATTCAAGCACCAGAAAATAGATGAACAAATACGATTGCCAGGATTATTCATTTAAGATCGATTAATAGTGATCATGCAATTAATTATGCTACTAAATATTATTTCCTTAATGATTTTCTAACCGATCTTATACATTGAATTAATGGATTTACTGCTGAGATTAATATTAATCATGTTAATTTTTTCTCAGATAAGATTTAGAGAAAAAAATCCTGCAGTTTTAATATTAATTAGCCAAAAAATTTAGAAAATAACTATTCATTTATAATCCAGAAAATCACTATTTCAAAGTTACAAATTATTAAAAAGCCATCGTTTGTGACAGAATAATGAAATGTTTTCAATGGATTCGGCTCATTAAAAAAAAGGTTTTTCTAATTGATTTAATATGCATTGAATTCTAATATCCCTCCATTTTAATATATTTTTTTCAAAAAAATATTTATTGCATTTTTCTTTTCCAAAAAAAAAAAACATGGCATTATTAGCAGCCATTGTAAGGCAATGTAGCCTCCAATTATAAACATTTGCTGCGTGCACAAGTGGATGTGAACACAAGCAAAATTGAGCTTATGGATTAATCCAACATATGGGTCCTTAACAAGAAAAACAATTTAATTACTGGCATTCCCTGGAACTAAGAGAAAGACAGGCCATTAATGTATTCCACCACAAGTTTAAATAAAATACGTGTAACAATCAAATTATGAAATCCATGTATTGTATTTTATAACGAGAAGAGTGTTTAAGATGATAATACTAGTTATTTTTTAAAGTATTTTTTATTTAAAAAAATATTAAAATATTTTTTTATTTTTTAAAATTTTATTTTTGATACTAGTTTATTAAAATAATTAAAAAATACTAAAAAATTAATTTAAAATAAAATTATTTTAATAAAAAACAGATTAAAACTTGATTTCAAATATCCGGTAGCTTTAGGACAACACAACAGTTTGAGAATTTCCTGTCAAAAAAAGCTAGAACAAGAAGAAGAACGGAAAGGGAAAGTTGGGTTAAAGACGGGAAAGGTTTTTGACTATAAAATAGTGTCAGCCAGCTAAAGTATAAAGACATCAAATTTGAATTTTCTTAACTTTGGAGGTGTGTCCTTGGTTTCCTGGCAACATCATCAAAGCAGCCTTTTGCTATTTATAGGAATTTCCCACTTTTTTTTCATGGTGAGCTGAAATGGATCCCACTTCCACGCACCAAGTTTCATAAATCTTTCCATCCTCTGTCCATTGCATTTCCAATTTAAGCATGCATGGTTATTTTCTTAATTAGTATCTCTATGCTTTTTAATTATTTTTTTAAAAATTTTTAAAGTGATTTTTACATGAAAATAAATCAAAATGTTTTTTTATTATTTTTTTAAAAATTATTTTCAATATCAATATATTAAAATGATATAAAAATATCTAAAAATAATATTTTCAAATAAAAAAATTTCAACTTTTACCAAAATGTTTTACAACTGCAAAAACAAATGGGGTCAAATTTGAATTATACTAATTTACTAGTTTAGAAGTGAGCTATCCTTACATCATTTATTAAATGCATGCATATTGTTTATAAAATCTAAATTAAAATTTTAAAAATAATAAGATTAATTATAAGATATATGATGATGCAACAATAACACCAAACATATCAATATATTTATGTTGATAGATTTGATGACATGATCAACTGAGTCAATTTATTTTCTAACATAACAAGATAAACAATGCGTTAACTTTCAAGATCAATTGATGTAATGAATATAGATCGTGTATTCATGTGAGATTTTATTGAACTCATGGGAAAATCTAAAGGGCACCCATGATTATTTTTTTACAGCAACTTGTTTAAGCCAACAATAAAAATCAATGACAAAATCGAAAAAACACTTATTTTTTTTATTGGTGGGTGATCACTGATCGATCCGTGGACCGTAATAGTTAATACAGCTGGGAGAGAGGGAGAGGTAGGCACAGCTGTTATATCATCACCGTAACTGGTGGCGCCACGTGGAACACAGCTTGCCAGCCAGCAGTGATTCAAAATGAGCCACCCTATTCACAGAAGGATGATCACACCCTTCAATTGGAAAAAAAAAAAAGAAAAAAGAAAAAGAAAGAAAGGAGGAGGAGCAGGTCAAAAATATACTCACGACCATGATTTTTCTTTTTTAAAAACACCACATTAAATTAAAAATATTCATGAAATAACATAGTTGAAAAAATAGCATAGTTTATATATTTTGTGATTATAAAATATGATATTTATAGCTTATTGTTATTTAAAATAGCGACATCTAATAAAAAAATTAAATAGACAAAAAAATTTATAAATAAATCAAAACTCAGATTATAATGCTATTAATACCATAAAAAAATTTCAATAAAATAAATTCAACAAAACCAATAAATATCACCAATAATAATTTGAGTGAATCATATTTGCTGTTTAAAGTTAGTGGGTAACATGCTAGTCTTTGAAAGCAAATGTACTCCACTTAATTTATTATTGATTTTTTTTTTTAATATTATTAAATCTATTTTTTTAAAAAAAATTTACAATAATATTAAGGATATTATAATTAAAATTTCGATGCATCTCTATTTTTTTTTTAACTTCTCTCTGTAGCCATTACCGTATTTTTTTTTAATATTGCTATTGTAAATATAACAAGCTATAAATATAATATTTTTTAATTACAGCATGTACGGATTATATTATTTGATTATTATTTTTTGCATCATTTCACCAATATAACCAAAAAAAGTACAAAAAAAAAAAGAGCCATCCACCACATCTTCCTATCATTCGAACATTTCACAAGGACAGCTTTTGTCCTGTTAAACTCTGTTTCAACTTATGGTGTCTGGTCCCACTAGGTTCCATCCTAGCTGGCCTTTCGATGGTTATAGGAATAATTAATGCATTCACGTGATATTTTAATATAATTTTTATTCATCGAGAATAATTTTTTTAATAAGAATTTAGATAGTTTTTCAATTATTTTCTTAAATATTGATGAGGAATTTATACATTCATATATCAATATATTCATTAAATTTCTACTTGTTCTATCGTGTTTTCTTCTGCATCCAAAATAATAACACAAAAAATAAAATCATTTACCTATTTAAAGCAAAGATGAAAGGTGGAGGCATTTCACAGTGGGCTCCACTCTCTGTCATTCCTTATTTACCCTGAAAGAGTTGTAGCGGTCCGATCACTTTTTTGATGCACAAGATTTGATTTTGACTTGGAAGCAGAAATTGGAAGCATTCTAGAAAGTAGAATAGAATCTTCTGGCGATTCACGTGGTTTATATTAGCGCGCATCTACACATGCCAAATCAGTCCAAATTTCATGAACCCTACAACGATGCATTCAAAATCACTAGGAATTATCATGGAGCCAACTTGGATGCCAAATAATGCCTTCGAAATCACAGCTAAGAACATCACGTGGCATTATTAGATTGAAAAAAAGACCAGAGACAGGTTGAACCGTAGCAGTAACAGAGGAGCAAAACAAGACCCGGTCTATGAGCTTGGTGGGGCTCCCATGGGCATAAACTGAGCGCTGCTAAAGTGATATTTTTGCTAATACAAATATTAGTGGGCATTGACTGAAAATATGGAAATCTACGAGTTGAGGAGAAGCTACCCTCGGTCTGACATCATGCTGAGCAGGAAACCACCGCCCAAAAAAGGGGTTAGAATGCAATAGACAATGGACGATGCTCTACTTATTCTCTTTGGAGATGATGGTATCTACATAAAATGATAAATAATAATATTAATAATAATAATAATGGAGAGAATTTGTAGAGAAACAAATTAAAAATGTTACAATTGCTATACCACCTAGCTAAAGTGCCTAGTGTTTCAAAATTGACCGTCCTTAAAAGATAAACCTTCAAGATCTCTTGACAACGACAGTGGCAAAACATGGATGGTGGATGAACTCAAAAGAAACCTTGAGCGACGGATCAAGAGCTCCGACCTGGCAAATCACATTTAGGGCAATACTATTGTGTTCTGCAACCTGCTCCAATACGCGGAGTTCAGCTAATCTGTCTGGGTCATTGGAAAAACCATTCCTCACCTCCTTTGCAATCTTCTGAGCATCCTTGAAATAATTATACATAACTAATGTCTGTAGACAGAAAGAGAAATCATTTGAGATTTATATAAAAAAAGATCATGTAGCGATAACTAGTAATCATCACAGACTACTTACAGAGAAGCGGGCGCAGGATGTTGATTCCTTGAATGAAGGGTATGAAATGTGATCAGGGATACAAGCTTTTTGTAGAAGTTCAAAATGCTGTATAAACCTCTGGATAAAAATAATTTTGGTGTGAGAAGAAATGACATCATTGAGCCATCTTGTGGCCGCTTATGTGCGAGAAATATTTTTTTATCTGATGTCTAAGCTAATTTTTTTGCTCCTCCAATCATATGAATCAATTTTAATGCAAAGAAAAGATGTTAAAATAAACACGAGCATAATATCTCAGTCAACACTCTGCAATGCCATATTTCCAACAAGCATATCAATTGATCTGAATGGCACCATTCTTCTTGGCAACACAGTTAATGCTTAACATTGTTTGTGGAGAGAGCAACCATTATTTCCTCTTTTAAACATATGGCTTTCTATGATAATCTACCAAACATTGCCTTATTGTTTATAGGTATAATATTAACTACCATATACACAAGAGATACACTTTATAATATTAACTACCATATACACAAGATATACACTTTACCTCATGTTCAGAATTAAATGGGCTGGGAGATTGTAAAACCATCAGTTCATTCCTCAAAGCAGCAAGCAGCTAGACAAATAGAACAAGTCCTTTAGAGCAATTGAGATGACAATGGTGAAACAAACGCATTTTATTTGAAGAGATGGAAGGCATATGTTCTCAGATTCACAATATATAAAAAGACAATATCGATTAAAATAAATAAAAAAATCCTTTGGAAACCTGCAAAATAGTGATCAAACTTCCTAGAAGCAAGGGCATATAAAATGGAAAAAAGGACAAATTCCATCCACAGTAACATCAGATTAGGTAGCTCTCGAGAATGGATGCATAACCTCATAAACTAGACCCCCTCTCCCCATGTTTGTTGGTCCATCACAAGAAAGATAAAAATTACTATGATTGATTGTTGAAATTGAAAGAAAGAATCAAGACTTCGGGTTCTACTTCTACATAAAAATTACTATGATTGATTGTTGAAATTGAAAGAAAGAATCAAGACTTCAGGTTCTACTTCTACATTTTTCAATTCATTGTAATTGAATGAAGTTGTATATACATATATATTATTGCAGTTTAAGAAATTGAGTAAAAGTTTTGTATCAGTTTAGCTTTCTTGCAACGGACATATGATATCAGACAAGTATTTAAAAAAGGACATGTACCAGTGTGAGTCCTTCAGCAAGACATATTTGGCATTGAAGAAACAAGATTGCAGGAGGAATCCTAGTGTCTCTTGCCAGGTCCTTTGGAGAATCCTTTCTTTTCTTTCCCTTTTGTTTAGCTGATTGACAGATGAACATGAACGAAACAAATTGGTGGTGTATGCTAAGGAGATTTACCAGTGAAGAAACAATTGCATGAAGAATATAAGAAATATTTTATTATCCTGGAACTAAGAGTCTGCCCACACTCAGAGGAACTGGCCCAGTCAGCCCACCAGGTCAATTTTGTTCAATCAATGATCTGAAAATGCTAGAAAACTTTGCAAATGACCCATATGTCAGTGTCATGTTAAGCAACAGCTCATTTACAGACAGACTCATCTAGTCAAATCCTAGACTGAAACCCCAAGGCAATGTAGCAGAATTGTTTTGTGCAGTTTTATGCTTCCAATTTGTCATACTTCAGAAACGTTTTTGCTCCTAAGTTCTGGCCTCTATCCTTGAAAACAAAACATGCAAGAAGTAGAGGCATGCTTACCACTGCCATCGCTCACTGTCATCTTCAGATGTGTTTTCTCTGCAAGCCTGACCAGAACAACATACAAATACCAATACACCATGCAATATTCACTGGGAGAATAGAGCTCTAATTCGAAACCCAGAACGAGAAATCGATGGGAAATCCAATAAGTTTGCTCCTCCACCCAAATGAGGATGTGTTTTAATATTCTTGCTGATGCATTCTGCAAAACCAAATAAATTTAATAACTCTATGTAAAGTAAGTATCTCAGTTTATGACATTAGGTGAACAGAAACTGAAACACAGAACTGCTAGAATGCAAAGATAAAAGATTCACAGATACCCATTTATATCTAGTTCAATAATGAAAAAATAAATAAATCTGAATCCACTCTTTTGTACTCAGTTAAAGCCAAATGGCAATAGAACTAATCATACAAGTATTGTCAAGTTCTGCTGTAACTTCTAACAGTGTTCAATTACAACTTCATAACAGCTTTATACATGCTAGTTTTCTTTCAACAGCTACGCTAATCATGCTATGTTTGAATTTCAATGTTCTATTCACAATGGCAGCGTATGATTATGGCATTTCTGTTTTTCTCTTTAAGAATAAAAATAAATATAAGAATGAAACCAAACAGTAAAGCCCCTCAGGCAATTCCCTTTTCTAAATGTATTATAAAGGACCCAAATGGTGAAACCACAAATACTGAGCATCTTGAGGCAATGAAATTGATTCCCAAACTCTTTCACTTTCATCCATACACACAGTTATTCATCTACCAATCTAAATGAGTATGTTTATATGTATAAATTGTAATTATTTATATGATTAAGAATCCGATTCCCTTTTATACACTGGTACTTTTTTGGGTGCAACAATAAGTAAAATGCTCAAGAGAGCAACATACCTCGCCATTTGAAACGCTAGAGCCTTCTCCAAACTCCTTTCTGAAAGCAAGCTCTATCTGCTAACAAACAGACATAGAACATAAGAATAAACACCATCTGATGTCTGCCAAAATAACTCTGAAAGCAGATACATGGAACCATATAATTTACATTCAGTCTTGAAGAGTTAATAAAAATCATTAAATTGCAAGAAACTCATCAATCTTGAATAGCCAGATACTTAACAGAATAAGGCGATGTTAAGGTTAGTGGCTGTGGAGGAGCAGACAACATTGCAATAGCAAAACCAGCACTTAAAGCATGGTAACCGTAAACATCAAATAGACCAAAATGAAAAATAAGTAAACAAAATTTTAAGCAGAAAATACTAATAAAGGAGACATGCCACACTTTCATAATTTATATAGACAAGGCAGATTGCATGATAGTTTATACAACTTTGATTAGGTTAAGCATTGTTACTCATTTCCACAATAATGGTTAGGTTCAGGACAGGTTAACATTCAATTATCTCTTCAATAAATATACTACAAAGCATTGTCATTAAAATAAATGGTGCATTTGAAATGAAATTTGCTTCAGGAACAGAAACAGACAACCCAAGCAAACAAAGCAGACAATACATTAGGGAAGATTACAAACCTGTACATAGATAACACGCCAATCTTGTAAAATCTTTCCGAGTTTACGCCTCTGCCATGCAGCATTTGTGCAAAGAATTTTGAGCATATTGATCACTAACTGCATCACATGTGATAATTGAAAAAATATTAGAAGATAACATGGCATTGACCACCATCACTTTTCATGATATTCAATTTATTTAAATAGGATATGTGATAGTCATGACTTTTCAAATTTGCTTCTTGGTTATTATTATTATTAGTAACACGTTATTTTCAAGTGTCATTTTTACAATGGAAAGGCAACTTCAAAAATTTATAATGGGGAGTGGAGATATAGTAATAAATAATGTTTCTTTAACTAGTGAAAAACTTTACAAGGCAGTCACTTTCGAGACTGAGGGAATATAAAAAAAGACAACACTTGTCTTCACCTGTCCTAACTGTACAACATATTCATTCTTCTGAATATCATGGTGCAGAAAGACCTCAGGAAGACGTGCAGCTCTAATAATCAGAGAAAACATAGGACACCGCCCGTAGAGTTTTCCATCTTGAACCAACAGAAGCTGTTACAAGTTGTCAAGTTTGAGAGTCCAGAAATGTAATGATAAGTAACTGCCAAAAGAATCTTGTACAAAATGGTGAACAAGTTAAACTAGATAAAAAAAAAAAAAGGGAAGACAAAGCAGGACAGATTATTAGAATGCCAATCACTAAGCATAACTCAAGGAACAAATAATACAGCATTCCATAACAGGCTCAAGAACTGAAAAATGGCAACACATCCATATTCTTCTTCTTTTTTTCAGCTAAAAAATAAAATAACTAGGCCTGGGCTAATAAAAAGTGAAGTGCATAATTCTTTTCAATATGATAAGAGAACCTGGATCAATTAAAAAGTTTAAGGAATTCATAAACAAGGAAGCAACCCAGTAGCAGCCATTCTAATAATCAGAGAGATAGCGTGGAAAAAGTCAAAATAACCTGGAGATGTGCTCTTGCAACCAAATCAGGCTGTGCTTTTTGAAATTGAGCCACAAAGCGCAAAAGATCTTCCAAAGAAGGGTCCAGTGGGTATGAACATATAATATCTAGATCATGAAGAAGTTTTTCAAAATACTCAATGGCCTGGCAGAACAGAAAGATAAAAACATTAATGAATATGAAATGAAGAATCACCACACTACTAACCATCAAGTTCTAACCTTTTTCCAACTAAGAATTTTAATTGAACGTGGTGGAGTTGGGGCTGAAATTCTGCTGTTTAAACTAGCATCAAACCCAATAGCTTGATGGCCAGAAGCAGTTGTTCTATCTTCTGTACCATCTTCACAAGTTCCATAGGCATTAGACATTAGGAATTCTTCTGATTTAAGAATTATTCCCAGCTCTGAAATGCAGGAAGCTATATGTTTTCTTGCCAACTCTAGACCTCTTCCTTGAGGTCGCCTCATGCAGGTTAAAACATGGAAAAAGTGCTGAAAGCAAGGGAAAGATGGTCAAAATAAATACAAGACATACCACAAAAGACAAGTGCAAGATGCTGCAAAGCTTAAGCACATAGAACCAAATAAAAAAACAAATGAAGTTGACTCATGGACGACCATATTTTCTGAAAGTGAGAAAAGGATAGAGAAGATATAAAAGAAGAGGCATACTTGGAAATCCAAGATAGTGTGTTATAGTAATATCAGCCAGGAGAAACAAGAAAACGTAGATAATTGATGAGTAGAAAGGAAGAAATATCCAATTATAAACCATATCACTGATTCCCCAACATTGAAGTAAGGAAAAGAAAACCCTAATGTTGCAGACAATATTTAAGTCTTTCAAAAGTGACTGTCAAAATGAAAACTTCATCATTTGTTTTCAACAGCATGAGGTTTTTTTAACCAGAAATCAAAGCAGGTGTTTTAAATCCTGACTCCTTGATAAATTTTGGCATTCAATAACTCCAGAATCCTCTATGTAGCTACAAGCCAATCTAACTAAATTTGTGATCTCAATTAGAAAAGAAATAAATCCAATGAACATTCAGGATATGAGCAAACATTATGAAAGAACAGAAAATTAAGCATAGACAGAACCCATATTCACTACAACACTCATTTTAGAGCAAACACAGGATAAGACCTTACGAAAGCGTAAGCGGCATAACAATGCTTTGCAGTAGCCTTCTTCCAGATCAGGATTAGGTTGTAAAGGCTCTATATCTGCATCAACAAAATCACCATATTAATTAAGAGAAATACGTTGATACATCTTGCCAAGCACTAAAAGATAGCGTGGAAATATGAATGGTAACAAAACACAACCTTCTCTTTTATGAAACCAGTGCAATTGATGTGAAAGTCACAATTTTACATATTAAGTTATGCAAAAAGTAGATGAGATCAAGCTTTCCAAATATACTTTCAAAACAATTCAAAGATCACCCCCTCTATCCTAACAACATAAATATGCGGCCCTTTTTACTTTGAGTGCTTGTTTCATCCAATAAACATAAATATGCGGCCCTTGTGAAATTTTTTTACTTTGAGTGCTTGTTTCATCCAATCCTTCTCAATGTTGATATGCAATGCCCCTGTTAAAATTAAATATGTTATCAGATAAATACCCTCTAACGGTTTTCTTTTGGATGAAGGGGCTTTACAAGCTCGTAGTTGGCGAGAAATATTCTCTTCAACAGCATTTAACAATGACAAGCACCTTTCATCTCCATCCCTGCTCAGGGGAAGGCCATAAGCCATTGTAAAAAGATCCTCTTCCTGCCAAATAACCAATTTGTAAATCATTTTATACAAAACATGTGCAAGAAACAATAAAAAAAAAGCCAAGTATGAGCATGTCTTGCAATTAGAATGATCATAACATTTAATATTAAGATAGCAATCATGCATGATAATGAAAAAAAAAAGAAGCAAAAAATTAATGATACAAAATAAACAGAGGTTAAAGGAGCTGTTGGAATACTTTACTTCATGAGTACGTGCATCTGAGACAACTGAAATCACTGCCTTGCAAGTTGCACGTATGACTTTGCAATAAGAATGCAGTAGGGCATGTGGTGTTGTCCTCTCTGGTCTCAGAAGGTAAGCGCAGGAAAAAACAGTTTGTGCCAATGAGTGACCCTTGTGCCATGTTGCCTTCCATGAAAAGATAATTGTTTAGAAACATTTTTGTATTACTGATAAGAACTCAATTTAGGATTTGCCCCACTCCAGCCCACCTATTGAACCAAAGTCCAGGACCAGGGCTGCTGATGATGTATCAGCTACAAGGAAAAGAAAAGAAACAACACCCACATTCACTCATATTTGTACATTAGACATGTGTAATTAGTAATGCATGCAAATTCCAGTGCATGCATGTGCAAATAAAGAAGTACATTTTTCATCAAAGATTTCACTTTTTCATCACAAACAGGGCAAGTGAGAATTGGATAAAGAGAAATGTTGAAAAACTATATGCGGTAGGGAAAAGGGAGTATAGTAGATGTTTGAGAGAAATTTTAATACAAAACGAATTATAAAAAGGTTTCTTTCTTTCAGTTAAAAATGCAACTGCCAGGTGGTACTCATACAACTTCCACATTCAATTGTGATAAAATGCTCTTGATCCCGCTAAATTTATGCGTCACTAAAGGAAATTAAACCTCTTATTAGAATTAACTCCACAATACCTCACACGTCAAGAGATGGTCCATGATATCAATCATGCACTGAACATCAGTGGTTTTGTCAGAGCTAATAGGCACAGGCGCCACACCGTCTTCGATTGCTTCATCAACAGAACAGTACCTGTTGACGATACCAGAATCCATCTTCGGGTCCATTATCTAACAAAATCAATTAATACACAAATTTAAGCCAAAAAAAACACTAAACACATAAATAAATACCGTATTGAAAATGAAAATGTATCAAGTTACCTCTAAAGCAGACATTGCAGCGTAAAGATTGAAATTCTCACCGTGAATTAGCTCGCCATCGCGTAAATCTGTTACAAATCATTATTTTAATTGAAATTAATCATTAAAAAAAGAGTTGCATTATAAGTTTTGCACTAATTGATTTTGTTAGATAATGCTTGATAATAAAAAAATGAGAGCTCAAATCACAAAAATAAAAGAAATAGCTTAGATTAATATTTTACTATTTCAAATGCGATAAAATAAAAATAGAGTTTTAGGAAGTCGAAAAGGAGTAGCTAAATCGGAGACCTTTACAAGCCGCTTCAAGGAGAGAAGACGCGTCAGCCCAGATAGTGTTTGCAGTTGCAGGAATTGATGAGGAAGAGGAGGGTTGATGCAGCGCGTGACGGTCCATCGATGCTTGCCCTGTGCTCTTCCAGTCCGCTGATGAATGTTTAAGCTCTCCTTGATGTCAGAGAGAGTAAGAGAGTTTTTGAGTTCGATGTTTTGATTCCAAGAGCGAGAATCTCGAGGGACAGTGCGCGTCTATAAGTAAAAGAATGGAGGAGGAGGGTTACTGGTTTAGGGCACTTGTCTCGGTTTGGACTTTGTACTTAATTGTGCACTTGGTCCTCATACTCTTACGTTTGTCTTAATTTAGTCTTCTTGCTGCTTCCCTTTTCCATTGTCCTTCATTGGCTCTCTATAAAGTATAAACCATAGGTATTTTCATCATGTCCCGGGTTAACCCGGTCCAAGCTTTCTTAAAAGAAAAAAAAATGAAATTATTATTTAAAAAAAAAATCAGGTTAAGCCTCATTGATTACTAAATTTACTATCCTATATAAATTAAGACTTACCTATCCTAGGATCTAATTGGTCTAAGCTTTTTAAAATAAAATAAAAAAACTTAAAACGAAGTTATTTTGACAAAAAAAAATTAAAATTTATATTGGTAAATTACTAAGTTGATTCTCTATAAGCTATGTGTATTTGATCCATCTTATTGGAATTGATTCAATCCAAGTTTTTTAAAAAAAATTAAAAATAACCCTTAAAACACAGAAAGAAAAATCTAAAATAAGCTTTATATCAAAAAAATTAGTAAGTTAACTTCTAGTTATTTTAACTAGGCTGCAAACCAGAATTCATAAATCATCGTTTAGGATCCATCCATTTTTTTTTATTGTTATTAGTTGGATGAGTTAACATAACAATTTTTATTTTTATGATTCGGTCTTCCACTCAGTTGCCATTATAGACAGTGTTCTAGGCGCATATGCATTATCCTTTTTTATCAAACTGTGGTAACTGAGGGTATTACCTCTAAACTGTGTTTTCATATCTGTTTATCGAGCAGAGCAGAGTTTCTCACAGCACATCGCTGCTTAATTCGTATGATCCATCATGTTATATGGACTGTGAGAGATAAAAATATATCAAAACTACTGTATTTGTCACATTCACACACAATGGAAAAGGATCATAACTAAGACTGAAATGAAATGACTTGACTTGGTAAATCTTCAATCAAATAACAATGTCTATGGCATCCTATGATTAAGCCTCCTTAACCATATCGAATGAAGTATCATATGAATCATATCATATGGCTTTGCCGGTCGATTCAATGTAAAATGTCTCTGTGCTTGGATCACATTTCTCTGCATTGTAAGGTATCTTTTATGCGAAATCCTTTTTAAAATTGTTTTGATTTCCTGTATCTTCTCCGACGGAATGTTTACGGAGAACTTGCTCCAGTCAAGAACATCACTAAATGGCAACGAATAGTTATCGGAAATAATCACAGGAACACACCCTAATTGAATCGCCGTTACCACTCTAGGACTTGCTACTTCATGCCCACTTGGGCACAAGCAAAACTTGCTTTGTCCCATTAATTTGAAGTAAAGAATATTATTTTTCTTCCTTTGAGTGACGTACTCGTGGACTTGAATTTCATCATCCTTGTCTTTCCACCGTTTTAACAGGACCTTCCTTATGCGACCATGAGCTCCGCCGGCGAAGAAGGCAAGGATTGGACGCTTACTTGGGGGCTGGGCGCCTTCACGTGGCAGTCCAAGCTTGCCAACATGAAGGAAGATTTCTGGCACCGAGACATCTCTTTGGGGCTGGAACCCTTCTGATGTATTAGCATTGCAAAGAGCTCTAATAAAATACTTGAAGAGTTCAGGATTGGCTCTTGAGATATCTGGCCCCTAGGATAACAATTCCAAATTATTATAGGATTAGCTTTCATGTAACATCCACTCTAATAATTAGTATAGCTTGTCAAAATACACAGAATAAGTTCCTTTTCGATCAGGTCTCAAACAGCTCTCTCTTACTGACGAACTATTTAATGGATTCACAATTTTTCTTCTTCTTCAACCCTTCTACAGGATTCGAGTCCTAGATGATAGCGCTAGTGGAAATTACACACACACACACACACACACACACACATATATATATATAGCCATAAATGAAGTTAGCTTTCCTTACCCAATCATGGCAAGAAATTGAGAAATGGTCAGCTCCATTGGTTCTGTTCCAGTAAGTGTACTTATCAGCTATAACACGAACATAATCTGTGACCAAGGTTTGTAGATGGTGGCGAGAGATGGTCACGCGAGGTTTATAGATATAGTGCATGATATAGGCCACGCTTAAAGGGAGAAGAAATGCATGTGCTTCGTCAGGATGGCGAGCAATAAAGTGGCTTTTGCCCCTCTCTATTTCATCAAGAAATTGACCTTCAACGCTATAGATGTTGTTTACCGGTCCACCATGGAGAACAGGTAGTTCTCCTTCCTTATAGACCCATATCTTGAATCTTTTCTCCATCTCTGTGTGACTCCTGAATAAAAACTAATTAATATATATAATAAGAAAAATAATTGCAGATTAATTTATTTAGTTTTTTTTTTCTTATTTCTTGTACGTTTGGTTTATCTCCTGTCTGGTGACAAAAGTCCAAGCAATAAACAATATGGGGCAACACAACCAACTTTGTTTTGGCACAGGTTATTTGTCTGTCTTCATAGCAGTATCTCTCAATTATTAGTGATCCGAAAAAATAAATATTTCTCAAATCTAAATTATTGTTCTTGAACCAGCACAAATAGTGATTACAAAAAGTCCCAGTCAGGGACGAATTGAGGGCGGCGGCTGCAGTGGCCCTAGGTCCCCAGTTTTTTCAAAAAAATCAGATTCTTGGAATAATTTCCTAATTCTTGGCCAACTTGTGGCATGATTTTTCCACCATAGCTAGAGTCTTGCACAGATTTGGTAATGTGGTATAGTGAATGCCAAGTTGAGGTCTCATTGGGGTGGTTGAGACCTGAGACCTCTCATTGGCAAGCTGTAACTTTTACTAAATATGCAGGCATCTGAAAGAGGGCTGTAAGAGGGGCAAGACAGCTCGCCAATTTAAAAACCAATAAAGCATTAATGTTACTGTCGAGGAAAAAAAGAACAGTGCAGTGGAGTGAAATCTTGTAAGCGAAAATATTACTGCAAAAAGTGCAAAGACAGAGATCTCTACTCCAAACTTAACTGATGAAAAGCATATTGATTTCTGTAGATGACTCCTCTAGGTATGTAACTTCCCTTCTTGTATGATGAGGAGTTCCTTGACCGTATTGCTCTCAAAATGGCATCTCTTGCTCTTGCTAAACCATCTTCAATTCTCTCAAAACCCGTCTTGATTTTCTGCCAACAAAATAAATAAATAAATCAATAACCAAAAAGGGAATCGCAACTCAGGCTCACTCTCTCATGCCTTGCAACCGCTGGAAATCTGGGGCTAAAACTTACTGTAATATTCTGTACTGCCAATAGAACAGGTGAACGTGATGGTCGGAGCCTTTCATCAAAAGGGCTTACTTTGATCTTCCAAGTGATTTGCGCATGCTGGCCAACTCCAAGAGTGGTGTTTGGTGGTGGTAGCAGCAGAATTGTTGATGGATCAGGTTGAAAATTAGGCGTATAAAAAGAAGACAAACGGCTGGAAATATTTATAGGCTGGTAAAAGGGAGATAAGCAGATGAGAAGCAAAGTGGAAAGAAAAGCTGATTGCAGTAGACAATTTATGGGAGAGCTAAGAAAAGTTGCCATTGCCTCTCCTACTCTTTCAGTACTTGCTTTTTTATCTTGTACTGATCACGGAGACAGAAGTCTATAAGCATGGTGGGGGATCTTCATAAGTTCATCAAAGACTAGCAGTGGATTTTTATTGATGATTGAATGTAGAGCTGGACTTGTCATTCGATTTAACCATGCCAAGCAGCAAGCAATCGAAGCAACAAACTAACGGCAAAAAGGCCCTCGGACTTTAATTGTTTGTCAAACTGACCCTTACTCAAAGTTTTCACCCAAATTGATCATTCTACTATCAATTTTAGCCTATTTTAATTCACTCATCAATCTCTGTCAATGATAAGAAATAATTTGGTAAATGTAAACACTGAAATATATACATATTAAATAAAAAACTAAATAGATTTTTAAAAAATAAAATTTAAAACACTTCATAGAATCCCAAAAAATAAATATCCACGTCATTTCTCCTGCTCAATCTACGTTACTTGTAGAAGACTGAAGACACATGTGACATCATTTAATTTTCTTTTTATTACAACCCATATATGTGGCATGATTTGTTCTTTTATGTGAGTCAGCTAGCAATTTTAATCAGCTAACTTCATCACTAAAGGAGGGAAGGAAAAAAATAAAATTAGTCAAAATCAACGCTAGAATAGTCAATTAGGATTAAAATCTTGTGAAGGGTTGATATAACCAAAGATTTAAAGTAAGAGGACCATTGGTGATTTTTTTTTCCCGTTGTGGGATCCTTTTGTCTTGTTTTTAGAAAAATTCAAGCTCAAAATCTGAATCACCATTTGGGAGGAGAGGGTACATCGACAGATCTGATTTGTACCATTTTGGTCGATTTGTGCCCAAGCAGGACTGCGAAGGAGTTACTGAAACACCAACGGACCTTTTTCTTTTGCTTTTTTTCTTTTTCCCTTAAAAGACATTTGTACATTGGCCCGCATTTTGATGTAGATGGGATCAATTGTTTTTTTAATATTAAAAAATTATTAAAAAGATAGGGAATCTTTTGATAATAATATTAAATTTGGTAAAACGAGTTAATTTTAAAAAAAATTAAATTAATTATTTACCTAACTCCAATATTATTATTATTGTTTGTTATTTAAATTACATGTAAGAAGAATGTTTGGGTGTATGTTATTTTATGTTGTTAATTGCTTTTAAATTAAGTTAAAGGATTTTCTAAATGACACTTTTGGATTTTTAAATCATGTTAATTGTTATTCAAATTTAAATTGTCCAAAAAAAATGTGATCCCAGAATAAAAATGATGTTAATGTGAACAAAGTATTAATCAGTATATGTAAAAATAGAGACATTAACAGCATTAGTTTCTTAAAATTGGTTTGAACAGAGAAACAATTGTCACTTCTAACCCATCAAGCCTAGAACAAAACATTGTAAGATTCTGGAAAGTCGTGTAACTTCACAATCCTGTCTGTTCTGTTTAAAATATACAGTAATGGCTTTTCTGTGCTAAGCTGCATCAAGAAATTTAAATGCTATCAAAGTAAAATTCGATTGTTAATAATAATGAAGATGACAAGAAAAAAAAACAATCACAGCAGAGGAAACCCTTTCCTTGGCTAGTATTTTGATCGTGGTACTATAACAGTTGCCTTAATCATCTCAATTCTCAAATTAATAACATTCTCTCATATCATATAGGATTGAGATTTCCAGTTGGCATGCCATATAACTTAAATGCCATCCTCAGATAGCAAAATAATTCAACACCCAATTTCACTTGACAGTCAATGAACAAGACCAAGTTCATGGAAAAACATATTTGCAGATCTAAAGTGAAACTGTCAGGCAAAAAAACTCTGAAATAAGGATGATGACACAAACTGTTCAAAAGATTGTTGTGTACTCATTGGTGTTCCATACATGTGCAGAGGCCAGTTTGGAGCTATTTCCAGTGATCTTGCCCAAAAGATACAAGGTAGGCAGTGTTGGGAGACAACAACTTATACAACTTATTTTAAGAAGTAGGGTTGTCATTGTCAAAATACTATAATGGTAGTTTCACCAACCATTAACAAAAATGGTGCAATCTTTATACTGTCATTATTTATGCTATGATTTATGGCCCCTTGTCTTACCATTGATGCTTATAAATAAAGTTATTATTTGAAAGCAAAATGAGAGAGAGAGTTAGAAAGTGAAGTGAAGAGAAGAGAAGAGAAGAGAAGAAAAGAAAAGAAGGAGTTGCCAAGGGCAGCAACCCTACTTTAATGTGCAGCAGTGTGTGTGAGAGTAATGGGAGTAGAGTTTGAATGAAATGATCCTTCTTCTCCATTTGTGTTATAACTCTTTCTCTATCTATCTTTAATAACATCGACTTCTCTCGTGGATGTAGGCAGTTTGCTGAACCACATTAAATATTGTATTAGTGTGCTTAGCCTTCAATAAGCAACTATCAGAACATCAGCAGTCTGGAATCTCCAACAAGCAAAGCATTAGATGAATTATCATGAAAACAATCTCATTCTACTTATCTAGAATTTCTCAGCATCAGATCCTTTATTTAATAGGGGGTTCAAGATAATGGAAGACAAAACTCTAAGACTATATTTCCAATTTCCCACAAAGAAACTGGTTAACATAGACAAAAATATATGCTGATTAATCTAATTCCTTGAATGGTTAGACAATAACTTGGATTTTTAGTAAGGACTGTGAATTAAGGAAAACAACAAAAAGCCCTAAAACATAACGGCAATTGAAAAGACCTAGCAACACTAATGTATGATATATTTGTATATGGTTGTGCTATAAGTATCATGCTGCTTCTTGTATGAACAAAAATCATTTAAATGGGCATTTGAGGTGTTAGCTCAACGGTGGGAGGGACTCGTTCCTTTCTTCTGCACCTGGGTTCGAACTTTATTGTGCACGCTTGTTACCCCTGTGGTGACTTACATGCTCACTAGACTTGCAAGATGTTCGGTGAGTCATGTAATTTGTCGTGGTGCACGCAAGCTGACCCAGATATCCAAATAAATAAAAAAAATCATTTAAATAGAGATAGATATGATACATTGAAAGGAGGTCCTAGAAACTCATCCTTTGTAATTTTAAACAGACCCCGAGCTACATCATCATCCATCACAATTAAAAAGAATTATATATAACAAATCACAAAAGTAAAAATTCGAGAGAGAGCATGCTTTGCATACATTGACAGAAGTTTGGAGCACAACTGTTTCTTTCCTTCCTTGACAAAGAAAGAATGTAGTGATATCTTTGTAAGCTATGGTTCGAAAATCCATGTTCTGAATATCATGCATAGTTATAAAATGATTTTCTCAGTGAAAACACAAATAAATTCATTTTGCTATGTTGTTTTGCCTTTAGTCTTCAAGCGAGAACACAACTAAAAAAATAATTCCTTAAGCAAATATTACAACTATATAAACTAAAAAAATAATATTAATGAATTTGATTTCTTTCGAATGACAGAGAATAGGAAGAACAAACCTCTTTCAAATACTTCAACAACCAATAGAGTTTCTCTAATAAATTTACAAGTGATGCTTATGTCATGCCTTATGTGGATGACAATAGCCTCCAAAAGAAAGTTATGGCACAAATGGAATGAAAAGATTTAACCAATTTAAAAAGGGGTATGACATGACATGTACAAAAAAAGAAAAGGGGTTTCGAGTCCTTTGATCAAATTAATCATGGAAGCTTGACATTAAGCCTCCTTAACCACACAGAATGAAGTATCATATGAAGCATATCATATGGCTGAGCAGGTCGATTCAACGTGAAATGTCTTCGAATTTGCATCACTCTTCTTTGCATTGTAAGATACCGTCGAACCGAAATTCCTTTCAAAATTATTTTAATATCAGGTATCTTTTCTGACGGAATGTCAACAGAGAACTTGCTCCAATCAAGAACATCACTAAATGGCAATGAATAGTTATCGGAGATGGTAACAGGAACACATCCCAATTGAATTGCTGTTACCACTCTAGGACTTGCTACTTCATGCCCGCTTGGGCACAAGCAAAACTTGCTTTGACCCATTAATTCAAAGTAAAGATTATTGTTTTTTTCTCTCCTTTGAGTAAGGTACTCATGAACTTGAATCTCATCATCTTTTTCTTTCCAACGTTCCAATAAGATCTTCCTTATATGACCATGAGCTCCACCTGCAAAGAAGGCAAGGATTGAACGCTTACTCGGGGGTTGAGCATGTTCCTGGGGTGGTCCGAGGTTGCCAACAGGAAGGAAGATTTCTGGTATGGAAACATCTCTTTGGGGTTGAAACCCTTCTGATGTATTGGCATTGCAAAGGGCTCTGATGAAGAATTTGAAGAGTTCAGGATTGGCCCTTGAAACATCTGGTGCCTGTGATAGATTTTGAATGTATAATCAATTAGTTTATGTTTCACTTTAAAAAAAATCCACAATACCATGATAAGATGCATATAATTTTGCCAAAATAAGATTGGATTTTTACCCAAAGTTAGATAAACCTCAACTCTATTTAAGGTAAGAAGGAGAAGGTTCTTGTTGATGCTGGTTATATTAATTAAGATTGGATATATTATAATTAGTTGTTGTGCTCGTCTTTTAACAACTTTGATGGTAAGATATTAATTAAGCTATGGAAATTATCCGTTAGTGAGCATGTTTGATATTATATTGTAGTTGTTTTTTTGAAAATGCATTAAGTAATATGTTTTTTATTTTTTAATTTATTTTTAATATTAATATCTATTAAAATAATTCAAAAATATGTAAAAATAAAAATATTTTTTTTAATTTTGTTCAAAAATACTCTTGAAACACACAAAAAAAAGGGGTTATTTGTTCAAAAATACTCTTGAAACACACACAAAAAAAGGGTTATATATATATATATATTCTGAGAATGAAAACTGGTAAGCGAGAAAAAAAAAAAAGGTTTGTTTGTCTGGCATACCCAATCATGGCAAGAAACGGAGAAGTGATCAGCTCCGTGGGTTCTATTCCAGTAAGGGTGCTTATCAGCTATAACACGAACATAATCTGTGACCAAACGCTGGAGTTGATCTCGAGAGAAGGTGATCAGAGGCCTGTAGACGTAGTGGATGATATGGGCCACACTCACGGGGAGTAGAAAAGCCTGTGCTTCCTCAGGATGGCGAGCAATAAACTGGCTTTTGCCGCTCTCAATTTCATCAAGAAACTGCCCTTCAATGCTGTAGATGTCGTTCACTGGCCCACCATGGACGACTGGTAGCTCCCCTTCCTTGTAAATCCACACCTTGAATCTTTTCTCCATTTCTTCGTAACTCCTGAATAAAATTATTTCGTTATTTGTAAATATTGTTAGTCGCTTTGTAAGAAAACACGACTATTTTTTATTTATTTATTTCAAAGAAACACACTCACAAATATATATATATACTTGTCTCTAATTTCTTGTACGTATTGATCACGTTTGATTTTCAGGCAATCCATCATATTGGGCCAGCAGAAAAGAAGATTTTCTGTAGCTTTTTTTTTTTTGCACTAATTTCTGTTCGTTTTTATTCAATCACACCGAAGCCTTATTAAAAATCTCTCAATTATTCTTCGACAATTAGATGGAGACAAGGCATATATTGTTGTGGTTATAATAAAACGTCCCCTTCGTTGAATAAATTGTATTATGAAAGCTCTGGCCCTATAGAATATTATCTAATAATTAATAATAATAATAAACTCCCCAGGATAAACTAATTAACCATAAAATTCATTTGAAGCTTTATTATTCTACTGCAAAACACAGTGATTTCGCATCTTAATTATCCGTCTTTACCATCTCATGTATAAACACTTATAAAAACTCTTAATAGTATTTTATTGATTAGAAAAATAAAACTAATCTTCGTATGTGTGAAAATCAATAAAAAAAATCTCTCAATATTTAAAATAAATAAAAGAATAAGAAGATTCGAACACCTACAGGTTACAATCTCATTGGTGGAGTGCTCATGAAAAAGATAACTTATTCTTTACTATTAGTGTACACAATAAAAGTACTTCATGTATTTTTTTTTAAAATATATTTTTAATAATACTACATTAAAACGATAAAAAAAATTAATTTTCATCCATTTTGTATTTCAGCCACAATCCAAAGCTTAAAATCCCAAAGCATTGTTTCCAGCCCTCCCCCATTGTATCCATAAACTTGGAATATCATTACTAGGACCATGCAAGCAACTTGACAAGGTTGATTTTTTGACTGGACGACAAAACTCTGGGCCAACTCCTGGCATGTAGTGTCAACGTCTAATTTCTTCCACGGAGATCGTGTAATTAATGGCGGTATGACTGTATGGCACTAAAGAGAGTTTGTTTCATTTGTGAAATTGATCGGTTTATCCAATATCTTGCCTTCCCCTTTTCTTCTCACATCCACACACAACCTCAAATCCAGTATAAAATTGAAAGCGTATGCCCAGCATTTTTAACAAAAGTACAGCCAATCGAAGGAGGTTTCGTACTTCCATTGTTTTATAAAACGTGTAAGAAGGCAAGGGATATTAGCTACTGTTCAGGACAAAGGCAGGATGGTGACCGGCTGCATGACCCACAACAATTAAGCACTTGCCATAAACTAATTTCAGTAATCGGTTTAGAAATGAGGTAATTAATGACTAAATTAAAATCAATATCATGACCCTGGGAAAATAAAATCAATACTGGCACGCATGATCAATCCTATAAAGTAGAAAAAGGAGAGAAGCTGTTTCCACTTCTGTAAGATAGGCAATATGGGGCCAAGAGTGCCACTCGAAATAATTAAGATCACATGAAGGAAATTCTAGTGACGAGGGGAATTTATGCAGTGCAGGGAAATCTTAGAAACGAAAACAGCTTTTCAAAGTACCAATTGTTGCTGCAAAGCGAGAATTATGAAGTTTTGAATTCAGATCCCACCTTTGTGAAGCAACTGCTAATAATATCAAGTAAGAAAATAATAGAAATAAATTAAATAGTATCATTGGAACTTAACTGATGAAAAGCATATTGGTTTCTGTACATGGCTCCTCTGGGAACGTAGCTCCCCTTCTTGTATGATGAAGAGTTTTGCGACCGAATTGCTTTGTAAATAGCTGCTCTTGCTATAGCTAAGCCTTCTTCAATTCTCTCAAAACCTGTCTTAATTTTCTTCCCAGAAAAACACACACACAAATCAAGAAAACAAGAAACCATATATTCGATATATTCAGTGAAAGTTAATTAACCAGGCTCACCTTTTCATGCCTGGTAATTACTGGAATGCCGGGGGCGCTAAAAACTACAGAACTGTTCTGCACTGGCAATGAAATTGGTGATGGTGATGGTGATGGTTGAAGCCTTTCAGAAATCTTTCCCTGTTCATAACACCAGAGATAAAATCAAGAAATCTATTTTTAAACGTAAAGGAGAGGAGGAAAAAACATTTTTGTGCTATCCATGCATGCGTGGATGTAAAAAAGATAATTAAACAAGCTTTACATTGTTCCTCCAATTTGTGATTTCTTGATCATCTCCAACAGTGGTATTTGGTGGTGGTTGCAGTGCAACTGGAGAGGGAAGAGGTTGAAGCCTTTCAAAAGTATAATTATATGTATAAAAAGACGACAAACTGCCAGAAACTTTGATAATTTGGTAATTGAAGGGAGCTAAGCAGACAAAAAACAAGGTGGAAACAAGAGCTGCTAGCAGCAGAAAACTCAAGGGGGAGCAACTTAAAGTTGCCATCTGACTTCTCTTTCAGTTCTTTGTAGGGTTTATTAATTTCTTGTGCAGATATAGACACAGTAGGAGATGAAGCATGGTGGGTTTTTCATATCTGACACCCGAAATAGAAGGCTAGCTAGCAGCATATTACAAGACACAACTAGCCAGTACACTCCTCTTGAGAGTGGACAGAAGGCTTTTCATGTAAGCTAGTAACCGTCGGGCATTGATTGGAGCATTAGATGATTTATTTATTTTTTCTTTCAAGGAGAGCTGGGGAAAACTACATTTTTGCCCCTATAGATTCATCAGTGCTCCATTTCTACCCTTTTTGTTTAATATTTTTAATACCACCCCTACAATTCTTAAAACATTTTGATTTTACCCTTAATCATTAAATAACTAATGGAATGATCTAATGATGAGCCCACTTTTTGAATTTTATTTCTTTGATTTTGTGAGATATCATCGCATGTATAAGTATTGAGAGGATAAAATATTGAGAGAAAATAAGAAAAGGCACACAAAGAAGGTGAAAATAAGTAAAAGAAAGAAAAGAGGTTTTCTAGCTATTTCAAATATTAGGGGTAATATTGAAAGCTCTAAACAACTACAAGGGTAACATTGAAGTTTTAATTAAACAATATGAATAGAGTTTGGTGGAGCATTGCTCTATAGGTGTAAGATGCCAATCTTAGTAAGTAGAGTATAAATTGACAAATTGATAATAGGCACTCTCTCTTTCCCTGAACCGAACCAAAATGGTTAAGTGGTTGAGTTTGTACTTGAGCCATTATGATGTCAAATACCCAGCAAAATTATAAAATTTTATTTTATATTTGCAGGTTTAATCTCTTTTCTTCTTAACAACAAGCTGTTTTCAAACATTGATTAAAAAAAAATCAGTTTTAAAAGTTATTTTCCATAAAAAAATTATTTTCCAAAGAGGTTGCTTCTGGATTTAATTATTAAAATAAGCTAGTTTTTTATTTGTCACACAAGCAATAACATTTTAAAAAAAAAAACTTACCATGAGAAAATAAAAAAAAAATATACATCCATATACTTCTAATTTTATTTGTCACACAAGCAATAACATTTAAAAGAAAAAACTTACCATGAGAAAAAAAAAATTTACATACATATACTTCTGATTTTACTTAACTTGAATTGGTACATATATTTTAAATTAATTTTTTATATATATTACATATTTATATAGCATATAATACTAAATATTTAATAATAATTTATCTTTTTATTTAAAAATTCCTAGCTTCACCACTGATAATACATGGTTATTAAGCTTTGCTTGAAATTGACCTATAGAAGTATCGAATTAGTGGTTACATCCCTTGATTAGGGTTAATATTTTTTAAAAATTAAAACTACATGATTTTAATTTTTTTTTAAATCAATAAGTTTGTAACCTTATTTGATTATCAAGTAAATCAGTTCACCTTCAAATTAATTTTTTTTTGGAATCTAGTCTAAGCTGTTTCCAGATCAATCCAATAGACCGGGTTGGATTAATAACAGTGCCAAATCAATTTTCCCCCTCCTTTTGCATTCTTTTGTTTTGTTTTATTTATTTATTTATTTCCTGAGGCAGCAATCAGCCAATACATGGCTGCTAGCCAGCCGCCATCCCACAGGTAAAGAAGCAACATCAAATTATTGACTTTTGTTCATCAAGTATTTCCATTAATCCTTTCCCAGTCCTTTTAAAACCTCGTTATTTTCATCTTATTTATCCCAGTCCTTTTAAAACCTCGTTATTTTCTTTTGTTTTTGCTTTCTCTGGTTTTTATTTATTTATTTATAAACTTATTCATATATTTCAAAGTTTTTGAAAGTCTTTCTTTATACGAAGTGATGACAAAGGCAAATTGAGGGATTCATCTTATTATTCATCATTGTTTTCATATTAATTTTTAGTTTTCTTCCTCTCTTTTTTTTAACTAGTTTTTTGCACCACGAGAATTATTCAAGTTTTATAAAATATTATTATATTAATAAATCATGTTTAAATTATTAAAATAAATATAACACTCACAGCGTAAAATACTAAAAAAGCAAAACATTCAAAGTATTTTATTTTTAATAGCGAAATATATTATAGAAATGATAGAATTATTTTTTAAAATATCATAAAGGGATTACCGAACAACGTAGTCTACGTTTTTATGTTTATTGAATGGACTATAAAAGTTAAAAACTATAATCTATAAATTATGTGCATAAAAAAAACATTTTTCTTTAATGATTTGATATACATTTTAAATCAATGGTTCTTGAAAGCGGCAGTTTGTGGTGCTATAAATGTTTTTTGTGTTAAGTGAAAAAAGTATGAAAAAGGTTTATCTAATATGTTATATATAAGCAAAAAGTATGAAAAAGGTTTATCTAATATGCTATATATAACACAAAATTGGATATTAAATCGGAAAATAAAAAGGATAAAAAAATATAGTATAATAGAATAAAGTTAAAACAATTATGCAAGAAACATATATAAGAAATTCACATTAACAATATATGAAATATGCATAAATTAAAGGATCAATTAAATAATTTAAGAGCATATACTCTTCTAAGATTATTCAAGGGTAGATATTATAATCAAACAAATTTTTTTATTAATTTCTTTATGTAACTTTATGTTCACATTAAAGTTATTAATCTTAGTTCTAATTATATGATTAATGATTTATAATCTTGGCCCTGATAGATTTCTTTTGCTAATAATGAAACTTATAATTATTAGCAGTCTAATATATATTAGATTATGCTATTCTATCACTAATTAATGACAAGTTTTGTCCCCCGACTTTAAGAATCCCACTGGTTTTAGCTCAAGACAAACGCATGCCAACCGTACTTATAAAGACATGGAAAAATACAAAGAAGTGGAAAAATGGGCAGGCCACTAAACAATGTTCATAATGTGATACAAATGGTTCCATCCCAACAACCCACATCGCATTTTTGGTTAATTTCGTAGTTGCATGAATAATAATAAGTAATAAAATGATAGATAAAGTATTGTCCCTGAAGATTTATAAAAATTACTATTATATATTAATGTTTTTAAAATCATGATCTAGGAATTGAATGAGATAATATATAAAACAAAAATTAATAATTAAATACAAACAACCAATTAATTAAATATTAATGAATTCAATTATATTGATTCTAGAATTTTTAACTTATCGTAACTATTTCTATATGAACTTTCTTAATTGAATTAATTACTTATTTAATTAAATATTAATGAATTCAATTCTATTAATTCTAGAATTTTTAACTTATCGTAACTACTTCTATATGAATTTTCTTAATTGAATTAATTACTTATAACATTGATAATCAAGTTTTTCTAATTTAAAAATTAATCTCTTTCAAATATCAATGAATTATTTTGATAAGTAAATTTCATATACTCTACAAAAATTCTGAACTTGTCAAAATTTATTAAGTATCGTGAAACCTATAACAATTACAAAAGTTCATAGGATATCTCTATAATATAGATTTCTTAAGGTATCTCAAACAATAGTTAAAACAATTACTCAAAAGTAGATATTCATCAAATGCATACAAGCATTACACATATAATGAAATACTGAATAATTTAATGTAATAATTCAATCGAAAAAATTGTTCATATATTCACTGGAAGGTTACATAAAAAATTCCAAAATAAAAGTCTACTCAGTTAAATTAAAGAGAAACAAACTTGATATGATGAATATCATTCAAAAGCAGAGAATGGTAGTAGAACAAATAAGTGTCCTCCAAATTTTCATTGTTTTTGCCTTTATTTTTTGTTTTGTTTTGTGTTGCCGTTTCTTCTCTCTTTAGTCTATTTTAGGTTCTCTCTATGTATGCACATCTCCTCTGCAGACCCCTCTTCTTTTCATTTATATTGTGACCTTTTTAACCCTGCCAGAATTAAGACAATTTTCTTTTCTGATTTGAATTCCTTCTTACCTAGACATTGCAGGCTAAATTTGAAAAAGGGAACGTGCGAATTCAAAGATCTCTATTTCTATAGAAATTATAAAATCGAATATTCTTTCCAACGACACTAATCTTGTAATTTTTTGACCTCTGAGACTTGAGATAAGGGTCATAAAACGAGACAGTATTTGGAGTATAGGAAGTTCGGGTTTAATTCAATCCTTGTTTTTCGACTCGTTTTTTGAGCTTTGAAACAACAAAACTAAATTACATACCCTTTATATGTTTTATAGACCTTCATCTCAAATATTTAAAAATTATAATGAACATCTAGAGCTGAGTTGTATAGTTTTCTTTGTAGCACACAACAAATCAATGTTTGATTTCATTGTCGGATTCTGCCTGCTCAGTAACCTAGTATCTGAAAACAAATTAATTTTTCACGAGGTCAATAGTTCAAAAAAAGGATCCAAAATTCTAATTATCTTGTGCAACACATTTAAAATATTTCAAAATCAAGCATGAATAGTGAAAAATATACATGCTAAAAATTCCCTTGTCATGTACTACATCGTATAAATTAAAGAATTAATTTAATTTTAAAAATTAAACTATTAGATGAGATTCTAAAATAAGATTTATATTATTCTCTAACATATTTCCTTAAGTGAAAGCCCTTTAAGCTTGAAACCTGTGTAGGCTCACGTTACTTTTTTTTTAAAAAAATTTTATCAAATAAATAGGATAGTGTAGGCTCACGTTACTTTTTTTTTAAAATTTTTTTATCAAATAAATAGGATAGTAAGATTTGAACTCGTGACTATTTGGTCATCAAGGCTCTGATACCATGTCAAAGAACCAATCCATCCTAAAAGCTTAAGCTGTTAAGTAAAGGCTCAAAATGTAATTTATATTATTCTCTAATAATAAAACCATGAAAAAAGGATAAACATTAACATAAAATAAAATAAAAAAAGAAAGCTAAATCCCATGTTTCTAAACCTAGTCCGATGGTCGACCTGGCTTAAGGGTTGGGTCACGGGTTTTGATCAGGTCAACCCTATTTTTTTAATAAATCAAAATAACGTTGTTTTGGTAAATAATAAAAATATAGTCGACATGTTGCAACCGAGTTTTTGACCTAGTCTTTCCAGATCAACACATTAAATGCGCCGAATTTTTAACTACCTTTATTTTTTCATAAACCCTGTCTGGTTCCAACCCTAGATCAGTTGGGTCCTAGGTCGACCTGCTAGGTCGAGTTTTAAAATTATAGATAAACTGGTTTCAACTTAAAAGTTTAATCTTGAAAAAATAATTCTATATTTTAAAATATTTTTTTAATAAATCTATTTGAATATTAGATTCACCACTATCTTTGCAAAAAAAAATAAATTGGTGACCAAAAATAGCAACAGTTAGTACTAATGACAAGTTATTTTACTAATATTTTTGAAACCCGATGTGATAGGTCAACTTAGGATCCAGTTGACTTAGGGTTAAAATCGAGCTGAGTTAAAAAAAAGAAGAAAAAGGAGAAGTCACAACCTAAGGTAACCCGACTGACTTAACCAACTAACCTGGCAAAACCAAGTCAAAAATTTGGTTGTGGTCTTTAATTATTTTTTTGTTTTTTTACTAAAATAAAATCATTTTGATTTATAAAAAAAATATAATTGACCCAGTCAAAAATCCATGACCAAGGTAAAATTCATAACCAAGCCTTGAACCTGATTAACTATCAAATTGAGTTTTAAAACTTTGATTTTACCTTCTAGACATTGACTAAAAAATGTCTTAAGAAAAATATTTACTGATAATAAATATATTTTTTACAAAAAAACCCAGCATTTTGTTCAAGTAGGATTAGCCAATTGACTAATGCAGTCAAATAATCATATTTAATATTAATTGTATGATTTACGCTTAAATAATTTTTTATCAATAAAAAGATAAATATATAAGTTTTTTTAATGTATTTTTTATAATAAATATAAAAAATTAAAAGATAAAATTAAAATTGAAAATATTCAATTTAAAAATTAACAAAATAAATCTAAATCATATATTTTGAAACATTAAATGAAAAAAAAAAACAAACTACAACATAGAGCCCAAAGGCAATAATATTACCTATTATATCAAACAACAATTTAAAAATAAAAATAAGGATTGTGTTAAATAAAAAATTGTTCTAACTCTTTTAAAGCTTAATAAAAAAAAGATATTTTAAAATTTTTTTATCCAGCTAACTTTCTTTCTTTCCTTTTTAAAAAAAAAAGATTAATTCTTTAAAACTAAAAAAAAAAAAGCCAGGCACATGAGTCTTCCCCACATGCCTCGCCGATAAAATGGTCTGTTTCACGTGCCTATATATATATATATATAAAATCAGGCTTCTCAGCTAGATCTTTTTTTGCCAAAAGCAGAGGACGTGTAATTAACATGTCATCCACCCTTCTTTTTATGTCGTCTGCCCTCTAATTTGTTTTCAAATAAAATTGTGGACAACGCAACATCACTTGGAATCCGGAAATTAGCTATGAAATTTCTTTCGTCAGTGTTTTCATTGCTATTTATGGATTCTTTTCAATAGCCAATGAACATTCTGAAAAGCTTGAAAACAAATGTTAATGTCATACATTTTCATTTGTTACACCATGGAACAATCAAATACATGCATGTCTGCTTTTACTGCAAATTAAAGAACATCTTTTGATGCCCTACGTGGGTGTAAGGACTTTGAACATCAAAATGGCGGCCTGACATTAAGCCTCCTTAGCCATATTGAATGAAGTATCATATGAAGCATGTCATACGGCTGAGCAGGTCGGTTCAATTTGAAATGTCTCTGCATCTTCATAACTCTCCCTTGCAATATCAGATACCTTCTGAATGAAATCTTCTTTAAAATTGTTTTAACTTCAGGTATCTTTTCCGATGGAATGTTCACTGAGAACTTACTCCAATCAAGAACATCACTAAATGGCAATGTATAATTATTAGAAATGATCACAGGTATACACCCCGATTGAATTGCTGTCACCACTCTTGGACTTGCTACTTCATATCCACTAGGGCACAGGCAGAACTTGCTTTGACCCATTAATTTGAAGTAATCGTTTTTCTTGTTATGATCGAGATACTCATGGACTTGAATTTCATTGTCTTTATCTTTCCAATGTTCCAACAAGAGCTTCCTGATGTAACCATGAGCTCCTCCAGCGAAGAAAGCGAAAATCGAGCGCTTACTAGGGGGTAGACCTTTGCCAGGCGGTCCAAACTTGCCGAACGGGATGTTGATTTCAGGTATTGAAACATCTCTTCGAGGCTCGAATCTCTCTGATGTATTTGCATTGCAAAGGACTCTAATAAAGTTCTTGTAGAGACGAGGATTGGCTCGTGAGATGTCTGGTGCCTGAAATTTGAAATGAAGAATCAATTAATTTACAAAAAATTAATCGCATACATTTAGTTTTCATTACTGGACGACAAGAAGAACGTAAATTTCTGATACCCAGTCATGACAAGAAACCAAGAAATGATCAGCTCCCTCAGTTCTATTCCAGTAAGGGTACTTGCCGGCGACTACAGCAACATAATCTTGGACCAAACGCTGCAGCTCCACACGAGAGAATGTAACGAGGGGCCTGTAGATAAAGTGAATGATATAGGCCACGCTGATAGGGAGTAAGAATGTGTGTGCCTCATCGGGGTGACTAGCAGCAAAGGGGCTCTTCCCACTTTCCATCTCATCAAGAAACTGACCTTCAATGCTGTAGATGAGGTTTAAGGGCGCAGAATGGACTAGAGGCCGCTCTCCTTCCTTGTAAACCCATATCCTGAACCTCTTCTCCATCTCTGTATAACTCCTGAATAAATATAAATTAATTTTGGTTATGTAATTAATTATAATGAGTGCGTGTTGATCTTAACAACTGACAATTGGAACGTGTAACATGCATAGTACAAATTAATACTGTGAGAAAACGTGTCCTTAGTGGAGCTGATGTTTTTCTCAGTGCCCTCCCTTCTCTTTTCTTCTCTCCCCCACAGACAAATTCAAATAATATTCCATTGTATTGCCACTGTAGCCTTGAAAAACCAGAAATCATGCACAACCAAGCCATGCCACATGTGTATTGTACGTAGCAAAGGAGAATCAATAGATGAAGTTTCATTATCATGAAGGAAATAATTGTCGTACGGTATACGACGTATCATGCTGACAGGCAGCTGGCAGCTAGCACAACCCTTAAACACTTGATTACCATAAATTTAAGTTCTGATCAGTTCAAAAATAAGGTAATTAATGATTTTTTTTACGACTACGACTTCAGCTAATTAAACTCAATATTATGAAACCAAAAAAAATTAAAAAAAAACAAATTAAATTAAACTATTAGCAACATTGATTTCTGTAAATATACTAACAGCTTCCTTTTGCGTTTCAAAAAAAATGAAAATAAATTTTGTAAGGCATGAATGCCTTGTAGCTCGAATGGTCAAGTTGAACCCTTCCTAAACCGAGAATGGTGGGATCTTGAACTCGAGTTCCACTTTTATCAATCAACCGCTAGTTAATTAATATCCGAAAAGAAAAGAAATGACAAGTCCACTTTTATCAATCAACCGCTAGTTAACTAATATCCGAAAAGAAAAGAAATGAAAAGAAAAGAAAAGAATGTTGCAACTTAACTGATGAAATGCATAATGATTTCTGTACATGGCTCCTCTGGGGATATAACTCCCCTCCTTGTATGATGAAGAGTTATGTGACCGAACTGCTTCGTAAATGGCAGCTCTTGCTCTAGCTAAACCTGCTTCAATTCCATCAAAACGTGTCTTTTTCTGCCCAAAAAGTACACACACAAAGAAAGATCAATAACATGAAACAAATAAAAAAAGAAGATATTATTAACCAGGCTCACTCTTTCAAGCCTTGTAATTAGTGAAATGCCTTGTGATGGTGACGGCGAGGGTGAGGGGGAGGGTTGAAGCCTTTCAAAAGTGGGGTTTGGAGGTGGTAGCAAAAGAATTGGTGAAGAAAAGGATTGAAAGCTATCAAAAGTATGGTTGGTGTTACCATCAATACTGTAATTAGGTGTAAAAAAAGAAGACGAACGACTTGAAATCTTGGTTGTTTGATTAAAGGGAGATAAGCAGAGGAAAAACAGAGCGAGAACAATAGCTGATAGTAGTAGAAAACTGATGAAGGAGCTACTAAAAGTTGCCATGAGAACCTGCTCTCTCACAACTTCTCTGTAGGTTTAAGCACGCATGGTGTCTTCATAGGCTGACCTGGAAAGGTTGAAAGATTAGCAATGATTTAGAAGATACAGCAAGCACAGAGAGACTTCAAATGTTGAGGGTAGAAAGTATCCTTTCAAACGAGCTAGAAATGGAAAGGAATTCATTCAGCTACAATATTTACAAATGAACTCTTGTAAAAGAGATGGGGTGAATTATGTACGTATATCCTTTTTCTCCCATGTTACATTTATAGATAAGATTTCAAGGTTAATCACTTATTGAGACACATTGAAATTATGTCTATATTTTATTTTGAGTTCCTTCCCCTGATAAACTGGATTCATTTAAATTTTATTTGGATATTAATTATTTTAATAATAACAGAATTAATAGTTTTATCAACAAAAATTTATAGTGGTACTTATGTCATTGATAGACTCACGGATAAAAGCAATCTATCAAAAAAAATTTCATAAGTAACTTATAGATTTTTGATGAATCTATTGGTAATAAATATACCGATGGATTTATATACAGACAAAGCATGTAAAAAATTAATTACCTATTTTATTCCATCAATATATTCATTAATAAATATACAAATATCATCAGTAAAATACTATTTATAATTATCTTGGTTTATTAACAGTGAAAGTGATATTTACAGTAATTTTTTTAACTTTTTAAAATATGCTGATGATCAAGTTTATCGGTTATCCCATTAATAATAGTGACATTTGCAATAAATTTTTTTCTAACTCACTAACAAAACAACTCTATTGGTATATTTAAAAGAGAGTTAAAAAAAATATTGCAAATATCATTATTAATGCCAACTCACCAATGAAATTATAAATAATATTTTGTTGGTGATATGTTATATTACTAATCGATATATTGGTGGACAAATAAAAACATCAATAACATTTCATATGGTTTTCTTGTCAATGATACACTAAATTTTTGGATGGAGATACCAATAAAATGAAACGGATTATTTTTTCGATACACTAAATTTTTGGATGGAGATACCGATAAAATGAAACGGATTATTTTTTTAGCGTGTTTTGATTATATATAAATCCATTGATATATTTATTATCAATGAACTCACTGATAAACTATAAATTATCATTAAGATTTCTTTTAACAAATTATTTTTTTATGTGAAACCATCCATAATACACTTGTCAATGAACTATAAATATAAATAATGATAAAGATTTTCATCAATAAAACTATTATAATATACTCTCCTATCATCAATCAATTTGTGTTTGAATTCTTTTCTTGATATTTCTTTGCGTGACGGTTAATTGGGGAAATGAACTTTAACGTATTCACGAAGGAAAGATACATTTCAGGATTGTGGTCAAATCTAATTAAAATATCAGAATTTCAATTGGCTCATATTAAAACTAGGATTAAAGTAGAAAATAAATAAAAGCGATATGTGAATCCATGCATATAGATGAGACAAAATAATGTGCATTAGCGTGATGCTTCGCCCCTTCGTTTTTTTGTTTTTCTTCCTCTATTTTTCGATCATCAATTTCTTTATATAGCTTTATCCATAAATGTTACGGCGTTGATTGAGATTTAGGGAGATTTAGGGCTAACAATTTAATTTAATTTATTTTTTATATGCTTATCATGGTAGGGAGATTTAGGGCTAACAATTTAATTTTTTTTATTTTTTTTATATGCTTATCATGTTTTTTTTTTTTAATATTTTGACATAAAATTAGTGTTAAGTTTTATTAAAAAAGATTTCAATTTATTATTTCCAATAAATTAAAAACGAGAGAACCAAAATCAGAAAAATAAATAATAACATGTATTTTATTTTTAAAAATATAATGGTGTCAATATTTTTTTTTAGTCTTTTAAAAATATAATGGTGTCAATATTTTTTTTCTTTTTAGTCTTCAGTTATCTAAATTTATTTTATTTTTAATTTTATTTTTTAATATTATGTTTTTTGAGATTTAAGAATGGTGATTTGTTTTAATATAATTTTTATATAGAAATCTCAATCTAAAAAAAGTTCTCTCATTGTATTAGCAATCCATTTCATGAAAAAAATTATGATTTCACTATTTGAAAAAAATAAAAATAAATAGGTGAAAATTAAAACAGGAAAACAATGGGAGATCTATTGACGGTGCCTTAGTGACTTAAAATTTTGTCAAATTTCCTCTTAGTCCCTTTAGTTTTGACATAAAATGATTAAGTGCAAAACTTTGTTGTTCTTACATTTTAGTTCATATGTCTGAGAGAGTGGAAGAATTTTTGGATTATAACAAAAGAGAGAAAAAGTTGATGAACAATTTTTTTTTCAATCAAAACTAGTTATTCTCCATATTAATAGGTTGTATTTAACAATTAAAGAGAATTCTATTTAGGTTCTTTTCCTTTTTATCTTGGCAAAAAAAAATACAAATCTTCATATAAATGTTTTTTTTATTTTTTTAACTAATGAAATTAAATGTTAATTTAAGAAAAAAATAAATAATATCAATTTATAAAAAAAATTAAAAACTTAAACAACATCTTTAGACTATGTTAGGTGGTAGGACATAAACACATTTGTTCTTTCCTAACCTAATTTGTTCAAACATGTTTTCTCGTTTTGATGTGGGAAAAAGTGGAAGATATGAAGGTATTGATCCACCTCATCTCTTTAAAAGTTTCCCCATGGAGCACCTTCATTTTAAAAAATCTGATTTTTTTTTCTTTATATATATTTTCAAGCTAATTTTTATACATTAAGATTAAGTTTTTCTATAATCAGATTTTAAACAAATCATTTATACTTATCGAATATGCTCACAAAAAAATCATTTTTTTTGTTTATTAGACTAGAATGTGTTTAAGGCCTGTTTTTGTTTATTAGACTAGAATGTGTTTAAAGCCTGTTTATTTGCTAGAAAATAATTTTTTTAAAAAATAAATTCCAAAAAAGTAATTTTTTTTTTAATGTTTGGTAGTATAATAAAAAATAAGTTGAAAAAAACTTTTCAGTATTTGTTTATATCATAAAAAATGAGTTAGAAAATAACTTATTAATATTTTATTTTTCTTAAATTTATTAAAATAATGAGGAATAGATCTTACAAATTAAAAGGTTGAATGAGAATGAAATTAAAAAAAATATAATTTTATAAATTATCTCAAATAAAATAAATAATAATCAAAATAATAGAGATCAAATCTAAAAAAAATAAAGAAAATAAAATAATAATAATTAATATTTCATAAATTATTTCAAATAAAATAAGTATCAATCAAAAGAATGAGGACCAAATTTGATAGAAAATTTTAATAAAAAATAAGGAAAAAACAAATAACAATTATAAAAATAAGGACCAAAGTTAATATAAAAATTAAATTTTAAGAGATGAAATTGAAAAATAAATATTCAAAACAAAATATATATAGCAATCAAAAGTTTGAGGATCAAATTTGATATAATCAACAAAATAATATGACATTTCTATTTTTTTCACAAATTCTGAAAAGTGTTTTCCACTCAAATTTTCTAGGAAAACGATTTTCTGAAACCAAGCCAAAAAAATTTTTGATTGAAAAGTGTTTTCTGTTTACTAATTTTTTTAATGGCAAACAAATATAAAAAAGTTTGGAAAATGATTTCTCAAAAATCACTTTCTAAGAAACAAACACAGCCTAAAAAAGTTGTTCAAAAAAGTATGTTGTATCCTCGTATCTTATTAATTAAATATAAAGTTAAAAAGTGTGGAGAAAATATTATTTCTATAAACCAATTAGCTTTGCGGATTAAAATAGTAACTCACAAATGTAGTTTTTTGTCTTACATTTTGACCCTCTTTTGTTTTTCCTTTGATTATTGATTTTTTTTAAAAAAACATTTCCTTATATAATGTATTTATGGAGATTTGAAGTTAATAATTTATTTTAATTTGCATTTTATATAGTTACTGCTGAATAAAAAAAATCTCAATATCGAGTAAATATCATAAAAATACTCCAGCATTGCAATAAGGTCTATTTTTTAAAAAAAATTTAATTAAATAAAAAATTATTCCAAAAAAAATTAAGTTATGAAACTTCGTAGAATCAATGACCCCATTTACAAGTTTGACAAGGTAACCTTAGTTGCCTTGATTTACAGGATTGGTAGGGTATTTTTTTTATTTTTTTAATTAAACTCGATTATATGATTATCTATTTTTTATCGTATAGTTAAAAAAATAGTTTTGAAAAAAAAATATTATTAAATTTTAGAAAGTTCATGAACATGTTGTTGAGTATTACTAGTTTAACTTTTGTTCTTCTTTTTTTAACTCATTTTTTTATTTTATCTTTCGATATTTAATTGATTGAAAATTAAATTTCATAATCTATTTTATTTTATTTTCTATAAAATTATTATAGTCTTAAAAAAAATCTTAGTATTGATTTAACACTTGATTTCATGTTCGTTTATTTTTATTATCAACTAGTTAAATAAATAATAGTTTAAAAAAAAATTATTAATTCCAATGGAGTTCATTACATGGGAGCTTGACATGTTGATGACCTGAGTTACCCAATCACATGTTTATCCATTAAACTTGACATGTATTTTTTTTTCTAGTTTCTAGTCCTTTAATTTTTCTATTTTTTTATTTCACTCTTCTTCAACATTGAATTGGTTGAGAAATAAAATTCATGGTTTATTTTTTGTACTTTCTATAGGATTATCACGAAACTTAAATAAATATTTTTTTTAGTTTTGGTGTTTGATTTTAAAAGTATATAATGTTATCATGAAATTAAATTAAAAAATTAATTTATAAAAACAACAAAATTATTAAACTCATTGAAGTTCATGACACAATTCACAGGTGATTAAGATTGATCTAATTTAGTATTGTCTCAATATAAAAAAATTATTGTCTTGAAGTTTTATTTTAATTATATCATATTTTTACCAGTAATTGAAGTTGTTTTTGGATCCATTAAATTGAATAATTCACGTTCGATCAACTTTTATATAGTTATTTTTGGACCCATTAAATTAAATAATTCACGTTCGATTAACTCTTATATAATTTAATTTAAAACTTGAATTAAATAAAGAACCAGGTTGATAAATTTCATGATCAAATCACTTAATTTAAAACTTGAATTAAATAAAAAACTAGGTTGATAAATTTCATGATCAAATCGCTTGATTAAATTTAATAATACTATAAAAAATATCTCTATATTCTTAATATTTTTTTAAAAAATTTACACAAAAATAATAATCTGATGCACAGCATATAGACAGCAGAGGACAATCAAATGTACTATTCCTAAGTATGATGTGTTTCATGATCATGAAAAATTGTATAATTGTACTTACTAAAATCAATGAGGCACCCTAATGTTGAGCCTCCTAAGCCACACTGAGTGAAGCACCATATGAAGAACATCATATGGCTTAGCCGGTCGGTTAAGCACAAAATGCCTTTGCACTTTCATCACCCTCTTCTGCATCTTCAGGTACTCATCATACGAAATTCCTCTCAAAATTGTCTTAATTTCAGGAATTTTCTCCACTGGAATTTGTACCGAAAACTGGCTCCAGTCAAGAACATCACTGAAGGGTAAATTATAATGGTCAGAAATAATAACCGGGACACATCCTGAATAAATTGACTCCGCCACTCTAGGACTAGCCACTTCAAAACCGCTAGGGCACAAACAAAACTTGCTTTGCCCCATTAATTCCGTGTAATTTTGATCCTTTGGTAAGTATTCATGAACTTGGATCTCATCATCCTTTTCCTTCCAATGTTTAAGCAAGATTTTGCGAATGTCTCCGTGCTCACCACCTGCAAAAAATGCGAAGATCTTGCGTTCGTGGGGAGCTAAGCCACTGCATGCTGGAGTGAGTTTTAAGGGGGGGCAGTTCAGCTCCGGCAATGTAGCATCTCTTCTTGGTCGGAATCCTTCAGAAGTGTTGGCATTACACATTACTCTTATCAGATTTTTGTATAGTTCTGGGTCATCTCTCGAGACCTGTGGTGCCTGAAATTACGAGGAAAATGCACAAGAATTCCAAATGTGCAGTCGCACCGTTAGTATAACTAGAACTTCAGTCCCCGTGTCATCTTTTTGCAGGGGAAATGCTAGGTTTCAATCTTATCAGATTGTCTACGAAGAGACACACCAGAACTTCAATTCTACATAAATAGCTACATACGTACCCAATCATGGCAAGAAACCATAAAATGGTCACCACCTCTGCTTCTGTTCCAATAAGGATATTTATTTGCTACGACTGTGACATAGTCCTTGAAGATTCTTACTAGTCTTTCACGATGATAGGTGGTGATAGGCAAGTAAACGAACTCAACAATGTAGGCCACGCTGATTGGTAGAAAAAATGCATGGGCCTCATCATGATTGCGAGCTAAAAATGGGCTCTTCCCACTCTCCATTTCATCGATGAACTGGCCCTCAATTGAATAGATATGTTTCATGGGCCCTTTGTGAACCATGGGCGTTTCTCCTTCTCTGTAGACCCATATCTTGAATGTCTTTACCATCTCTGAATAACTCCTGAGTAAGGCAGAAGAAAACCTTGTCAATCAATCCTGTACGTGTAATAAATAGCAAGAAATAAAGCTCAGTACTGGTTAAGGAGATATGTTCCTTTTCTAAGAATATTTATTAAATTTTTCTAAGTGTATATGTGGATGGTTTGGCCTTAAGACATCTAGAGAGGGACACGTGCGATACTGTTTGATATTTTTTAAAATCAATATTTGTTTAGTTTTGTTATAATGAAAATAAATATTTGCAAGAAAGATAACGATTTATTAAATAGTGAAAAAAGATATTTCATCAATCTAATTTTCATTTTCTTATTAATGTGTATTAGTAGCATCTTTTTTGAATAAAAAACTAAAGGCCATTGATAAATATTCATAAAATTCTGATAATTAAATCATTTGAATTAAAAGAAATGCATCTTTTAGAGACCTCGTGAATACGTAAAAGAAATGCATCTTTTAGAGACCTCGTATATGGATAGAATACAAATAAAAGTAAACTATAGCACATGAATCGATATAAACATTAAGTGCAAGGATAAAATTGAAAAAAGAAAAAAGAATAAGTTGGAGAATAAACAATAAATTCATTGTAGAATGACTGTGCTGTATACAGTGCTTTTAGACAACCCATAATAAAAGCAAGTCCCCTCTTAATTTTAATTTTAAGAAAATTTACGTATCTTGCCATTCTGGGTTAAGATAGATGTGAGTGGAAAAATGCAAATGGCAATACGGAGGCTTGCCCGTTCTATTTTTTGACGAGTCTGTTTAGAAGTATATTCTCGTTGTTTTTTAAAATAATAGTTTTATTTTTAAAAAATTATTTTTAAAATTAACACATTAAAATAATTTAAAAATATAAAAAATATATTAATTTAAAGTAAAATTATAAATTTTTTAAAATGTCTTGCTATAAAAAATAGGGCTAGCTTTTACCAGGCCACATGCCTTAACAAATCCCCATCCCTAAATAAAGTAAAGCATTTCAAATCAGTCCCGATTGGTAGCAATATTTTGATAATCTCAAAATAACATATTTTATCATATGATTTTGATTTTTTCGAAGATTACTAAGTTAATTAGCATCAATGCACACATCGCTACTTAACACCTTTTCCTTTTTCTTTTTCCTAAAAAAATTATAAAATGCAAGATAGTTGTTGTCGAAGAACTCAGTTGAAATAACAAATCAATAGTGATCCCATGACATTTGTTTTTTAAAAAAAAACATTTCTTATAGAAATCCTTAAAAATCAAAATAATAAATTAAGAAACACTTTGTTGTCCCATGTTTCATAATGTTTCGGTTGATGGGAACACCAATTTTGAATTAGTCTTTTCCTTCTCCTTCTTCTTAGAAAAAAAAAAGAGTAAAATAAAACACCTCTTGAGTAGAGCTTTTTACATGTAAAATACATAAAATCTGTTCGTAAAAATGATATATTTAAATAAGACTTGACTTCTTAATTTTTATAGGTAACAAAATATATAATTAAAGAAATAAATTGAAAAGAATACCAATTAATTTTTATAGGTGAGCAAATATTGGAATCGACAGTATTTCATAGGGTAAAAAACAATACAACCATGCATCACAATATGGTAACGTGTAGTAGTAAACATTTTTTTTTTTAAAAAAAGGAGTGGTCAATAGAAACTTAACTGATGAAATGCGTATGCATTTCTGTACATGGATCCTCTGGGAATGAAAGTATCCTCCTTCTCAGTTAATGTATAGTTCTTTCTTCGAATTGCTTCTTGTATAGCCACCCTCGCATTTACTAAATCTGCTTCTATTCTCTCTATGCTACTCTTCTTCTACAACATGAAAAAAAAAATGAAAAATAAAATCATCAGTCAAACCAGACAAACAGTTTCTTACCAAAAGAAGAAGAAGAAGAAGAAGAATATTGTTGATCACTTTTGTGTGGCTAACAATGCTATTGTTTAGAGCAATATTGGTAGAAGTTAAAGGAGATCCAACTTGTGGAAGAACTTGAGTGGTGTTGCTGTTAGATATGTGTTGGTTAGATATTGGGGTTAAAGGAGGGGAAATTATAGTTCGATTGTTTTTGTATAATGGAGAGTGGTAGAGAAGTAGGAGGAGAAAAATGGTTGAGAGCAGAATGAAATGTATGGGGCAACTAAAGGTTGCCATGTCGATAGGTTGTTCTCTGAGTGGTGACCTATCTGCTCTATATCTAGGGTTCTTATATATCAAGGTAGGAAGAGACTAGAACGGGTCATGTGTAGAGTTCTCTAACCAAGCCTCGCCAACTTCTTGTGCTTTAAAAATGAAATGAAATATAAAATAAATAAAAATCTTAAGAAAACATAAGAAATTTTCTTTGAAAATAATATACTGATAAACTGCATGTGGATACAAAATAACAAAAGAATTTTGAAGAGAAAACCATAATGTGCTCTTAATAAAAACCGAACTATAATTAAAATAAATATTCAGTTCGATTCAAATTTGTATTTTTTTTATATAACTTGGTTTAAAAACCAGAAAATAGTTACTATAAAAGTAAAATTAATAGTGGGAAGGGCGTAATATCTTTCTAAAATCCACAAAAGTCAACGATAAGCATATGGACTGCTCTTTCTCTTCATTCACTGGATGAGAAATTTGCTATACTTTGCTTCTAAATCATGCGGTACGTTCACTGCCTGATTAGCAACATTTGTGCTTTGAATCCGCTTTACAGTGATCAAATCTTCTGTGTATATTGAGCTAGCTGTGAAAAGGCTATGGGGATGGGAAGATCGTGTATAGAGCTGTTCTTAAAATAAACAATTAAAAATAAGTCGAAATTATGCTTACTTTTTATACTTCATTTTATGGAAGTAGCTGAAGAAAATAAGTAATAAGTTGGCTAGCAGAGGCACGGACTTGACCCGGGAAATAATCTCATTCACCATAATATACAAATAATTAATTTAAACAAGAAGTTTCCTTCGCTAATACTTTGTTATTTTTGATTCCTTAAATCACTAGAATTTTGATCTTTACTAATCACAAGAAACCATATCTAACGTAAAGAACTTGTTCACAACTTGACTAGAATAATTTAACGGGCGATGTCTCCAGTTTTTCCTAAAAAATTTACTCTTCTTGAAGGATACATAAGAGGAAATGCATGATTGCTCACCTTCTGCACCCTTCTTGTGCTCTGTGGTTGACTTTAATCAGCACTAATTAAATGCCTCACGTGCTATGGCCCTAAAAAGGGTTACAAGAATTGTATGTGAAGAGTATAATCATAATTAGTAAATGAAAATATAGTAGTTTCAAAGGTATAATGGGCTGTTCCAAGACATTATTTTATATAATATGATCATGCAATTAAGTTAATAATAATTATAAGATCCCCCCATGACCCTGAACAAGGTCTCATATCCGGAGTCGTCTTGGATCACATGAACTTCTCCATCATCATTCCCCTTTAATTGAAATGCAAGCGAGTGTCCTTCCCAAGCTATAACATTACTTTATATATATATATATATATATAAAGCTAGGAAGGGCGACCAGCTTTTAAAATCCGAAGCCGCATGGCCATAAGCTTTGCTTGGTGTTTTCATGCATGAAATTGTGAAGCCAGCTAACATGCTATATTTAAGGTATTGGGTTTCACTATGCCGAAAAGGATACTGCTTTAATTTCTTTTTCGAATCATTGCAGCCTGATTTTTGTAAATACACCAAAGTAATGTATTAAATAATTTAATTGATGAAGTCGTTTAGTCTAATACCGAAGAACATGTGCCCAAATTTTGTATTTAGGAATCATATTCATATGAAAAATCCGACTTCGAGCCTCTAGCTTATTGCCATCTAAATTTTGATTTTCACACCACGATGCATATTTTTAATGTATATAATGTATTTGTTTATCCCGCGTTGATTTAAAACAAAACTTCCTTCTAGTCTAGGTTATAATAAAGAATTTTTTTTTATAATCAATACACAACATTTAATATAATTTATTTTTCGTTGTATCACCTCATTTTCTCTTTTTTACTTTTAACATGATATCCCGACCAGCATCTTAATATTCACAATCATATCAAGAATTAAAAATGTTACGTGATTACAACTAATAATGAATCCTTCACATAAGAAAAAACTTATATATTTTTATTATATTAAAAGTTACGTACACTAAATAATTGTCATTATTAGTGGATTCTTCATCTAAAAAAAACTTTTTTTTTGCATGGTCTTTCCATACATGTTGGTCACTATTAGGATACTGCCACTTATGTGGCAACATCTGCAACCCTACTCTAGGAGAGGATTGTCATTGTCAAAAGTCTATAATGGTAAGTGCATATTATCAAACAAGTTACACCAATCATTGATAAAATGGTGCAATTCATGTACTGCCACCATTTATGCCATGATTTATAGTCTCTTGTCTGCTATTGAATTGCCTATAAATAGAGGCATTATTTGAGAGAAATATGAGAGAGAGAAGAAGAAGAAGAGAGCATGAAGGACTGCTAAGGGTAGCAGCCCTGCTGCCATGTGCAGCAGTGTGTGAAAACAATAGGAGTATAGTTTGAGTGAAGTAATTCTCCTTCTTTATTTGTGTTGTAACCATTATAGTTTGAGTGAAGTAATTCTCCTTCTCTATTTGTGTTGTAACCATTTTTATATTTATCTCTAATAATATTGGCTTCTTCTATGGATGTAGGCGATTTAACAAAACATGTTAAATATTGTGTCAGTGTGCTTAGCCTCCAATAAACAACTATCAGAATATCACCGGTCGGAATCCCTAACAATTGGTATCAGAGCATTTAGTTTAAAATGGTGTTTGATATTTGCCTAAAAAAAATCATCAAAATTATGTTTTGATCATTCCACTAAATAGAGGAGGAAGAGACAAGCATACTGGTGAAAACGGCGTAAAAATCAGATTTCAAACTTGGTCATACACATCATCATGCGTCAGCGAGCCGTCTGGCCACGCATGCAGATGCACCCCACATGTTTTCTTCGCTCGAATAGGCTGCCCGACCCGAATACCAAATGATCCGATATGGATATAGATATGGATATGGATATGGATATAGTGATTGACTCAGATATGGATGACATCATCATGATGTAATTATGACGCCAACATACAGGGTTGACATGCCATGTCAGCGCCTAATCAGCTGATACGTCAGCACAACGAGACCCACCCGCCACATCATCAGCCTGAGCCGAGCCAAGTGGAGCCTAGTCGACAGCTGATAGATAGGATCTAATGGGGATAGAATTATTTTGATCAAATCTTAGCCTTCTAAAATGCGATTTGGATGATTTCAAACTTGTTTCCAGCTCATTTGATCATTCTAGATGTAATGGTACGGTCTGATCATTAAGATCTAGGTTATGCAATGGTACGGTCCGATCATTAAGATCTAGGCTGAAAGTGGTGGTGGTGAATTATCAAAGAGAGATTGTCCGATCTGAAGACATCTGAAGGTCATCATGGTGGTCGATAGAGATGAAGAAGAAAAGGTAACACATGTTTGCCCAATTATATGTTTTAAACTGCTAAGTAGGGAAAATTTTAATTGCTTTAAGGGAAGGCAAGATTGGGACATTCTAGACACCCAATCATGTGACGATTTGAGATGGAGAGTGAAAATTAATGAAGACCAATCTTGACGAATCTAAGCACTGGTAGTCTTGCTAGATATTGAGAAATAAGGTGTAAAACCAAAGTACTCCAGATCACTTATAAATGAAAGCCGCAACAAAACTAGCAAATGGTTATATATATGGAAAGACAGTACGAAGGATAGATATGGCCTAAAAAGTTCTAGCTAGGAGATTGGGTTTGAAATGGGACTAGTGTGACCCCTTTAATCTTTTTTAGAAACTTGTTTAATTGAAGGATTATCCATACAATATTATTTTCATATATATAACAATTTGTAATGAAACTATTAAAGAATAGCAGGATGATGGCACAAAGGAATAGTTGTGTTTTGTATATTCAAGGATCTGATGAAGTGGTGGTTTCTTAAAAGAAGTTAGATTTGATGACTGTAATTTCTCAAGGAAAGAATTAATGAAGACCCTAATATAGAAGAGAAATACAGCAAGGGAATAAAGATTGACACTCTATTTTAACTTGGATAAGTGTTGTAATAGGATGAGCTGCTGTTAAACATAATCAAAGAATAGGGAGAATCTAGATAATAGAAATTGCACAATAGCACACAGAGATTGTGCAAGAGTACCTGTAGGATCCAATAAGGCACTATAATAAGACAACAGGTGCAAGGAGAAGAAAAGTTCCCAGATAAAGCTCAGAGTAGAGACTGTGTAAAAAGTTGTACAACAGAAAGTCTTTTATGCTCTTGATAAAGGCAACAAGCAATGACCTTTCCAATGCATGAAGGATAGAAAGATGAGCTATTGTAAAAGCACTTAATTAAGGGGGTGTAACCACCTATAATGAAAGGTGAAGACACCAAAAAGAATTAGTGTGGATGGAGCTTTCGAGTAGAAAGGCATAGAAGCTTCAAACATAAAAATTAAAATGTAGGATTGCGAGAAGTATACCGCAACTCTCTCTTTCTATGTGATTAATAGCAGTGATCTCTCCTAAGTCTACATGGTGGTAGAGAACCTTGGAGCCACTGGAGTCATCTCCGATAAAGAAAGATGAGATCGCCCTATGATGAGCGAAGACACCTTAAAAGGTGTATGGGTCATGATATGAGCCCAAGTACAAACCACCACATGACAACGAACGAAGACACGTTAGGAGAAGGTGTGAAGGTCATGATAGTAGCCTAATTATAGAAAGCCCAAGAGTTAATGTGATGGCTTAGATATGAGTGGGCAGGTGTATGGATAACCAATATAGTGGCTGGCTATGATGAGTATGAAGAAACTACTGGATTGACTTTTATAGATATTGCCCCTATGTTAAAGATCAATGAGCTAGAAGATATTTATCTTGGAAAATAAGTGGATGACTTGTGGAGCATTAAAATATGACTACTATATAAAAGCAAAAGGCATAAGTAAATTCCTAAAACAAGTTGACTCTTGTTAAAGTGGTGAGCTCGGTAATGACATTGTAATACTCAGAGTATGGAGAAAGATATTGATCAACCTTTGATGGGCTGCTCTTATAGTTAAAGGTAGAGAGCTACCTAGGCTCTTAAGACTAAAAGTGGAAAGTAAAGCGTGGTTCTTAAGG